ATCACTACTCTGCCGCTTCGTAGCCCCCTTCGCCGACGATACACTCCCACCACTCGCACTCTTTACTCCTATGCTCGACTTTCTTAATAATCCACTAGCGCCACTTCGTGCCCACCCGCCATTCGTAACCACGTTCATCGCCTTACTCTCCGGATCCTCCTCTTCTCCCTTATCCTTCCAATCATTTTCATCGCTACTGCTCTCCTCGTCGAACTCATCTTCGATCGCCATACCCTGTCGATTTAGCGTCCGCATCGATACTGAATTTGGTGGCTCATCTACGTATAGGCTTGGATCACGACCTAATACGCGATCCGCCTTAGACGGAACACGTCGGCTGCCGCGTTGATTTTGGTATTGCGGAGGTTGTGGCGGTAATGATGCCTGATAGTGTCTTCCGGCACCTCCATTGGCCCGCTCAACGGTTATCGGGACGAATCCAGGATCAGGCTCGCCCCATCCAGCGGCTCGTTCCCGTTGCCGCTGTTGCTCGCGCTCTCGAGCCATCCGTTCCCGCGCTGCTGTCCATTTCGGATTCGCTTCCCAGGTCCAGCCGTTGCCTGTCGTGTTCATGATCGGGAAAAACCAAAGTATGGGCTTGGGTCCGAATAAGTGCAACAAATTCCGCTTGGCACCGAGGTCGAAGGCGTTTGGAAGCTTCTCTGAGTCCTGCTCGTCCATATATTCTTCATACCGCTTCCTTGCGCGATACTGTTCTAGCTCCTGGTATGATAGCTGCCGCGGCGGAATATCGTCTCTGGTCGTCCTCACCTCACCCTCCTCCGGCCTGGTGACGCCAGGCAGCGCGTTCGCGTGGATATCGAGTAATTGCTGGCCGTACCTCGGTAACGGGATGCCCTCGCCGTTGTGTTGCGCCTCAAACTGGTGCTGCAGCGTCTTTCGTAGCGGACTTAGATAGCGAGTCTTCTCTAAACACTCGATAGTTGTCTGGTTGCGACTCGCAAGTAATATGTGCCAGCCGGTGAAGGCGCCGACGACGAGACCAATAATGCCAGAGACGACGGCCAACATGATGAAGTTGACGGGCATGAGGGTATTAGTATACTGAGTTTGGGCGAATAGTTCAGCGTACACCCAGGTCCCAGAAACGGCGAAGCTATAGAAACAGAATATGGTGGAATATATGAGGAATAGGAGGAAGGCCTTGTGGTTGCGTAGGCCGATGCAGGTAGCTAGCCAGGGGCAGTGGTGGTCCATCTTGAGGACGCAGCGGCGGCAGGTCGAGCAGTGATGCGCACGATCGGGTTTCCGGGCCTGGCATTTCTTGCAGAAGCGCAACTCGCCGTTGGACTTGACGGTGAAAGAGGTAGCTAGCGGCGGGGCGGCAGTGGGTAGAGTAGAATAACCGGACTCGTTGGTGGTGCTACCAGGATTCGTGAAGACGGCGGTGGTGTAGCACCAATTAAGCATTAAGTAGAGAAAGACGCCGCTGATAGAGGTTTTGGTTCCTATGAATGGATATTAGCTTCAGGCAGGCTCTATTTCTACCTTCAACTTGCAAATATCAATCTGTCTCAAGCTCGCCAGGACTGTAGCTCGCATCGCATCGCATAGCTCGTAGCAGAAAAAAAAAGTCTAGACTTGGGATACGAACCTATCCAACTGGGTTTTGACATAGCGCTGGAGCCGATATTAACGACAACCCATACGGCCCATGTGGTGATACTATAAACGAAGGCGAGGGGAAAGTAGGTGAGGACGCCGCAGCAATAGCGCTCGATGCGTCGTGCCCATCTCCGAGCCATATTCGGAGGTGATCGCAACGAGGGCGAAGGAATTCTATCCATGAGGTGACAATAACGCAGGCATATAGCTCAAACCCGCCAAACACAAAAAGAGAAGGATGGATAAAATAGATGGCGAACAAAAAAAGAAAGAAAAAAAGTGACGTTTTGCTAACTAAAAGAAAGAAAGAAGCAAGTATCACATCATGAAACCGATTCACTTGGGTACTTTTTCTTTGGGATCAGTTGCTTACGAGCGTCCCCTGACGAATTCCAGGATCTAGATTCTATCTAAGTGGGCCTGACGTGGACCAAGGAGAGGGAGGCAGGGGGTTACGGAAGGAACGGGGCTTGGCTGTGGCTGAGCAGTATTGTCCATACCTACATAGGTACCTACCTAGGTACCTAACTCTTCCAAAGCTTATCAGATATGCATCAATCTGTTGTTGATATGCTTCTATAGCAAGTTATGTATGAAAGAGAGAAGCTGTCATATCTAATATGGCATAATTCTTTTATTCACTTCGTTATTACTCATCGCCTCGACTCCCGAGAAGATTGATTTGTGAGATGATTCTTTAACTTATTCATATACATACAGAATCCTATCAACCTGCTAGTCTCCGATCATTCTCACTTCATTCCCCTCCCCTCTTACAATCACAGCAGATACCCTCACGACACCGTACCGTTGCTATAAGTGCTCCCCAGATCTCCCCACCTAATATTCATAAACGTCACGCTAGTATCTGGTCTCTTGTTCCGGATGAGCTCCGGGTTGCCCTCTTCATACGTGCACGGCCCAGCATTTCCCGCGTCCAGCCAGTTCATGAACTGCTTGTCGTCGTTCCAGATGCTAAACGCCAGCACCATTCCCCTGTCGAGGGCCTGCCCCGTGTTCGTCAGTCCGCCCATGTTCTCGAAGTTGTCGGCTACGGCCTGGCAGTGCGACATGCGGAGCGAGTCTCCGGGAGGCACTAGTTGCAATAGTTAGCAATAATCAATCGCCCGCTTTGTTTATTTGATAAGGAAGCGTTTACATAGCGGTCTGGGCGTGTGACGGGAAATTCTAGCTCCCGAGATAGGTAGACCAAAAGGGGGAGGGGAACTAGGTTATATCACATACTGTTACGAGCTATCACCGGTGCATTCTCAATCACCACGCCATCTTGAACGTATAGCCTTCGTACTTCGTTCAAGATCCCCTTGGTAATATCTGCTGGATTTCCCTGAGTGAGGAATTGTGTTGTTACCGTGAACGGGCGCGTAGTGTCGACGGTAAACCGCGTCAAATTGCCGTTATCCGACGAGCCCGGCGGAGGCGTGCGAGGACCATAGTAAGTTGTGTTGCCCATTTTCCAATTATTGTACGCGCACCCGGACTTGTCGCAGACACCTAGGGTGCCGCACTGATCCCCTTCGCACTCATATACCCCCGGCTGGCTGCATGCGTGAGCTGTGAATGCCGAGGCCAGCGAGTTGGCTTCCCAGAGGTCCATCTCGTTGCAGCAAGCCCCTCGGGAGTCGATATTGGCCTAGGTTTATAGATATCCTATCAGCTTCGAGGTAGGATGGATTTAGGCGCGGTAAGACTTACCACACCGTTAATAAACGGCAAGTTCGGGCACTGCGCATCACAGTATCCAGTTCCATACCTTGCACCAGCCGGGTTAAGAGCGCTGCGGGCTCCAGTTTGGTTCATCTCGGCAAGGTACATCGCGCCATTCATACCACAGATCAGCTTCGACACATCCACATCGAAGCTGATCTCCTGATTCTTGAGATGTAGGATCTCATAATCATCCTCTTTCGCATCTAGTAGATACACGCGCGGGCTCAGCGTCGCAAGCGTGCCATCGCGCTCTCCGTACATATTCAGCGTGAGTATGTTTCTGTCCGCAAGCACGCCGTTCCCCTCGTAGTCGGCGCCGTCGAAAACGCAATTCTTGGCGCACGCTTCGTGGTCTGGACACAGCTCCTTATTCAGCGCACCGTCGTACCCCCCACAGCTACTGGTCCCGTCGACCTGCCGGAGGGGATGGAAGCTCGCGTCTAAGACGATAGACGTGTTCTGCTTGACGCAGCCGCCCGCCTTGGTGCACTTCTCCGTTGTAAGCTGCGGGTGCGTATCTGTGTTACCGATGCCCTGCGCCACCGTCTGTCGGGCGAGGAGCCACGCGGCTGTGACCGCTACGCATACGTGCATGATCGCCGTTAAAAATGGCCGAAGTTGCGATGAATGCTAGATAGATCGGAGGTGATGTTGAAATAGGGCGGCTGCCTATATAAATGCCCCCAATCGTACCGGACCCCTCTCCATCGTCATGGCTTCGACCTGGTAATCAGTGTCCAATTCACGCATGAGGGGGCATCTGCCGACCCCCTTCCCAGTAAAGATGATCACCAGCCGACTGGGCAATATATGAATATGCAGGGTTCGACACTACGCCAATGCCCATCATGACAACAGATTACCCGCGCTGCATTTGGGGAAGGCGGAGAACCCAGTTGCGAGTTGCGACACCCTTAAGCGCGGGAGCAAAGATGTCTCCTGGGGCCATATGGCGATGCCAGAAAGACCCGAATTATTTATTTTAGAACACAGCGGTCTATGATCAACATGGATGCTTTATGCATCGAAACTACGTAAGAACAGTAAGAAAAGTCGGCTCACAACAAGGGATGGATTACTTACTCTAGTAATTAGCTCTACATACGCCCAGAACCCTGGCGGCTGAATTGTGTAGAGTGATGTGCGGGCAGTTCAATCGCAATCTGCATGGATAAAATGCCTTACGGTAAAGTATTATTACCTAATTGGCTAGGTTAGAGCGTCCAAGAGCAACGGAAAACACCATGCTATAGTAATCAGTTGTTGAGATCCAGTTGGTCTTCGTTCGATATTACATCACTAAGCTGAGGCGGTATTGCCGAGAGAAATCATCGTGTATATTGGCAAGTTACGGTAGAACTCTGCTGACTCATAGTTAGGACTATGAAGGATCGAGCTATTGATCTCAACTAGGTACCTAATTTAATGGCAAAGGAGGAGAGTATTAACGCAAATCGACGCATAGAAATCAACACGAACCCGATCATCATGCCTTGAGATCGAACCATGGTTGGTTGAACAACCAGCCGTCTCAGATTGGAAACCAAGTGTTCTGATGAGGCACAACCGTCCACTTATACCAACGTATCCGCAAGAACCCCATATTCCGCCACTGAGTTCTGAGAGCCTTTTTCATAATGTTACTACCATATGTACTCCTCGTGGGTAATTTTCTTTCCTGCGTCTGATTCGGACTTCCCTAAGTCTGATTGAGACTTCTCCGGGCCTGGCTGAGACTTTTCTGAATCCGACTGAGACTTGGAGGCCTCAGCTTCCTTCTCCTTTACCCATTCCTCGGAGCCTGGCACAGGACCAGGACCACGTTGCTTGGATGCGGCCCAGTCATCATCAAACGTCACCTTCGCCGTATCGTTCGCAAGCTTGATGAGGGTGTCGATTTTCAAGGCACCTTTGGTAGCCGTGTTTAGCACTTGCCTATAAAACGCCGTGTTTCGAATGCGGCACTTCTCTTCGTTTACGTTATCTGCATGCTGAACCCATGAACTGCCGGATGTGAAGACATTTGTGCATCCCGGGCACTGGAAAGGAGTACCGGTGTGTGCCGGTGATCTTAGATGGGAGACCAAGCTTTGTGCAGTAGAGTGCTTCGAACTAGGAGAACGTTAACACTTCGTTCAGACGTGACCCGAGTAGTCAAGTACTCACCTGCATTCCTTGTGGGGACATTTGAAAGTCTTCAGGAAGGGATTCCAAAACAATCCCGCGTTGAAGCCCGGGTTGTCCGGGTCGAGGATGCGCTCTCCAGCAGGCTGGGTCGAAGGGGACGGTCTTGTCATATTCTCAAGGAGAGACGGCGGAGGTGGTACAGCTCGATGTGCTGCCTTCTCCGGGAACAGATTTTTCTTCTGAGCCCAAGCATTGAATGGGCGCTGTTCAAGACTGGCCCCATCATCTCCCGTCAGCAGGTCAGGCTGCTTTGAGCCGCCTTGGTAGAACTCCTGCTTTGCGGTTCTCGGAAATCGCTCGGGGTGGTCTCGCGCATCAAGGCTCTGCTCCTTGTTCCATTCGTCTCCCCAGACGTCACCGATCTCAGTATACGATCTGCCCGGATTTCCCGGATTGATGGTGTAGTCAACATCCTCGAATCTGGATTTGCCTAAAGTCTTCGTAATAGACTCTACGGCTTGGACAATATTTCCAGATATATCTGAAGGAAAGATACCATGGCAGTTGCCCTTTTCGACATGGCGCATCCATGTTCCTGCAGAGGCAAACTTCATACCGCAACCGGGACAGGGAAGGTCTTGTTCTGCTTTATGGTCCTATATGGGTGAGTTTAGTGAGTTAGAGTCTTATAGGGAAAGTGTTGTAATTGAAAGGGAGACTTACTTCTGCTCGATGTTTAATCAGGGCCTTTATATCATGGAAAGACTGTTTGCAAAAACCACAAGCTAGGTGTCCCTGTTGCTGCTGATGAAGGTATAGGCCACGCTGATCGGCAAATGTGGCCATGCACTTTATGCATCTCAGGTGAGGGGCGCGAGTACCGCCCGAGCTGGACGGCATTGTTCCTCCTCAAAGCTCAAAAAGAGAAGGGTAGAAATTCCCGTAGAAGAGTTGACTAATGCATTGGAGAAGGGACGGGCGAACAAGAATGAAGCTGCAAATTACCTCTTCGAGGTTTGTTTCTTTAAGGTCGACACCAACAGCAGTGACCGAGAAACCCTCTTGTTTAAATATTGGATCGGCAAAAAAGGATTTATATATAACAGAAGGTGCGTGGGAATTAGGTTAGTTACCTTAGGTAGGTGCGATAACTAGACAACCGTATCCTCCTTAGCGCGCCTTCTCCGGACAGTCGCCATTACTGCTATATATGAATAGGTATCATGCACATGTACCAACTACATCTATCCCAGAGCGACTTCCCTGAACATAGGTAGGTATCTGGCAGGTATTTATATATTGCTTAGAACAACCAAATGAGCAAATCACATATATTAACTATGTTGGCAGGCAAACAACTAGATGCTAATTGTTCTAGAATGTACTGCATTTTAAGGGAAGTTGCCGTGTTTGACTTATATTGTTTGTGTCTTAACGAGGAAAGGGGTAGCTACGGTAAACAGTCTACTTCTGGCAGATGACCTCTGTAATACATGCGCTAACAGTTGTAGAAGGAACGGTATTTCCTTCCTTCATGGTGTAATATAGAAAACTGGCTTCTATTATTGCAAGAGGCTCAATGTTGTAGTTACCCAACTTCGATTTGAGATATCACAACGCACGTGACTTGAATACAACATGAGAGTGGAAATCATCACGTGCTTTTGGCATTATTATTAGTTCTGTAGTGGCTTACGTAGGACCTTTGCCGTTTCATCTTATCGCAACAAGGGTCCCGGGTGTACTTGTCCTTTGTATTATACAGTGCATGCATGCATGGCATCAATCTGTGACTTCCAAGGTGTATCAAGACAATCTGGCCTCGTTTATTAGAACCAGTAACCTAGCCAGGAACAACTGTTCAAACTCTCTTTTAACCTAAAACCCCCCACGTTTAACTCTATCGGCGTTTGAATTACACACCTATTTTCCCTCCTGTAACAAGCTCTATGTAATCGATAACCCCTCTACTTCCTCTACTAATACAAGAGACTATTATTGTGTGAACATCACCAGCCATCATGGCTACCTCTACCTTCAATTCCAAGTCACCCACCATCAGGCGCATATGTATGTACACGACTACCTATTACCCCCTCTAGAACCATCACATACATACTGACCAAACCCCAATAAACAGTAAAAGAAGCAGCCGAGCTCTCCACTTCCCCCTCCCCAGACTACACAGCAGCGCCCCTCGAATCCGACCTCTTCGAATGGCACTTCACGCTGCGGGGCCCGCCGAAATCCGCCTTCGCCGAGGGCATATACCACGGGCGAATTGTCCTGCCGCCGGCGTACCCGCACCGTCCGCCGTCGTTCCGGTTCACCACGCCGAGCGGCCGCTTCGAAGCCAACCGGGAGATCTGCCTGAGCATCTCGGGGCACCACGAGGAGTCGTGGCAGCCGGCGTGGGGGGTGCGCACGGCGCTGGTCGCGCTGCGGTCCTTCATGGAGACGGACGCGCGCGGCCAGCTCGGCGGCCTCGATACCAACGACGCTGTGCGCCGCAAGCTTGCCGTCGAGAGCCGCGGCTGGCGCTGTCCCGTGTGCGCTAGGACCAACGCCGAGATCATTGCCGAGTGCGGGCAGCGGTGCGCCGAGGTCGAGGTCGATGGCGAGAGGAAGGAGGAAGTTGAGGTCCCTGCTGAGTTGAAGATGGGCTTCCGCGACGAGATGGAGAAGGCGAGGGCTGCGGCTAGTAGCGAGGGCGAGAAGGAGGATGCGGAGCTGGCGGAGGGCTTTGTGCAGACTGTGCCGAGGAGGGAAAATCCGTTGCCTGCTCCCAGACCCGCACAGGGCGTTCCGACGCCGACGAGAACGATACCATTGCCAGCAGCTGTGGGGCAGCCCGTATCGCTGCAGACTCCAAGAAGGGTAGATCCAAATGTGGGAGTACCGCCGTGGGTCGATTATGCTATCGTGTCGTTGGTGGTGATATTAATTGCGATGTTGACGAAAATTATTATAGGACATTAGTGGTGGTTGGAGGCGGGCAGGGGCAAACGGCGTTACAGGCGGGACAAAGGCGTAATTGAATTACATATGGTAGCGGGTAGTGATACCAAGGACTGAATGAGAGACTGAATTTATGGCTTCGGATACTACCCGGATCGAGCTACACGAATTTAAGCTTATAAAAACTTATGGGAAGTTCGCAGTTGAAACTATCTTTTCAATGAGGACTGCAAAGTCGAGAGCGGATGAGATGAGATGAGATGAGATGAAATGAGGGTTGAAGAACTGGGTGGTTAGCTATAAGTCGATTAATACTACGGTCGTAAGCTACTAACACTTTGTCCCAACGCCTAATTACTTTATCAAGTATAGTAAACATCCCTTACGACGTTGGCAAACTTCTAACCTAGTAAAGTTCTAACCTAGGTAGTTAACCCAAAAAGAAAAAGAGATAGAAATTCGGCGCTAGACGGGATCGAATCGCCGTTTACACGAGCCGTCATCTCAAAAGCCTACGACCTGCAACTACAACATGTATTGTCCTACTACCAACGTGGCTCCCTATAGCTCAAGACTAGAGATATAAATGTACTAGGTTAAGATAACACGTATTCCAGTCTACGGGTGCACTACCGCTGTCTCATTTCGCCTTTCCTTACTTAATTAAACAAAATTATAAACTTGACCATTACTGTGCGACGCTGCCAAGAAGATCCTAACAAGAAAAGTCCGGCAATGCTTCGCAATAAACTAAAGGATATCTCCCTTATTAAACGCCCTAATATACCGCCGTCCCATGCCATGCAATGAATTTGTGCCGGTATAATTTACAATGAATTACTCGCCTTAACAATCCTAACCTTGAGAAACACCTCTTCCCATCACATCAAGTGCTAGTCGGCCCACGACCAACCACCACCACTCCCCCACTGTGGCGCTCTGTCCTGAGTGGTAGCGCTCCAAGATGCCTAAACCATCAATCCAATCCATGATTAACTTGGCCTCGAACGGCTCGACGAACGGCTTCAGCAGCACGCTTGCCGTCTGCGGTGTCAGTGGGCCTTTGGTTGCGAGCGCTAAAGTTGTCATGCTGAGATATGTAATCCAGCGGGTCTTGTCGAGATTTCCGAAGAAATCCACCCAGATCGGTATCTCGTTTAGAGGTCCCTGTTGGGGTACCCCAACCTGCCCTACTTGTTGGAGAACTGGGAGATCTTCGTTAAATACGTAGCTCGCTGTAGGTGACAATATTACGTTGAAGTGATAGTAACTTTTCGGGAACGTCCGGCCGTCGTAATTACCTGGCTCAAACCCAAAGGGAATATTAGGTATATCCATGGCTTCTGCGCGGACGTGGCCTTGGGCTTGGAGGTTGAAAATCGCCATGATTGCCCCGTCGTCGGCAACGTACGGGACAGCAAACCCCTCGCCTTTGCGAAAGCTCTCATCTAGTAGTGTTTTAAAGTTGGCAGATTGTGCAAATTTCTCGACAGTAGCCGGTTTCTCAAGGTGCTTTGCAAAGACTCCGTGCAGTCGTAAGGACTGACCCAATATCTTCCCTTTGCTTCTTGACGCTACCCTCTCTGCTATAAGCTTATCAACTACTTTCTTGAGTAGCTTATTTGTTTCTGCTTCGTTTCCACCGCTTAGACTTAAGAGCTTCGCACGAATCTCCTCGGGCATCTTTGCACCCCGTATCGGGGTTACACACAAAGAGCGAACCCACGACCTCGCCCGGCCAATGATTTCTTCCTCGGCTGAAACATCGTGACTTAAGGGGATCGAAATAGGCTCTCCAGACGTTGCTTCAACTCGCGAGTAGATAGAAGCTAAGTTTTGAAACCACGTCTCTCTCCAATCTGTAGCTTCGTTGCCTACATCCTCAAGGTAATAGGTCTCTTCTAGATCGCGTCGAGATCCAGGAAGTTCCACCTTGTCGTGTGTCTCTAATTTGGTAGCCCAGATGATTAGAGACTGCCAATCGTAGGAGTCGATATCGTCGTAATTAAGTGGTTCGACTTCCCCCGCTTCGTAAGCCTCTAAAAATGCCGATTGGAACTTCTCCGTCAAAGCATCAATATATGTCTTCCGTTCTCTATTGACTCTAGGCCAGAATTTTCTTAGTGCCGAGTGAGAGAATTTAGGGAAAGCTTTCAATATTGAGCCAATGTCTGCCTTCCTATCGACCCCACCTAGGAGTGTTTTGAATACCACGAACGCGGCTATGACTTCTGTTTCGCCACTAAGGCCAAGATTATCCTCGTTTGGGCGTGGTATGCTCACGCGGCCACGGTGCTGGACAGGTATGGGTCTGAGTGATCGTGTCTTATACTGAACTTCTACTTGGGGTACTGGAGCTATTTGTGCCTTCCTTCCAGGCTTCTTTGCGCTGGGTTTAGCTTGTTCTTTAGGCTGTGACTCGACAGGATGTTCTCTTCTTGGTCTACCCCTGTTGCGATGGATTATTGACAAGCCCGCATTTTCATCGTCGGGAGGTGCGTTCTTGATCTCTTCTGGTATATTCTCCACGGTATACTGGCCTTTACTAGGCCACTCGAGGGTAATGGGCTTCATGTTTGCCCTTGACTCTTCAGATGAGAGGGAAATGAATATATAATCTGGTGCGACCGATCCGTGCAAGAGAATTTGGGACCCTTCAGCTGACTGTTCCCATTTCTCGATGATGCCCACTTCTCGTAGAAATTTTCCGTAGGAAGGGTCTGCCCAAGAGTTGAATTGGAACTTCCCCCGGAGAGATTTGATGATATCCCCGGAATTCTGTGGCAAATTCGCTCGTTGGAACCATCGAGCCTCTGGCATAGCTCCGGCCAATGCAAAGCTCGTGAAGTTCGACTCGAAAAAGCTGACCGGTAGCCAGGGCCAGCAGCCAGTCCGCGTATTCTGAATCGGTTTGCTCTTTGCGAACGTAGCGCCAACCCCTTCAGAGGGAAGGCTTGAGTTTTCTTCGGGAATTTCTGCATGATGTACTTCGGTTAACATCGTATCGTCATCTTCTTCCTCGGACCCTGAATCTTCAGGTACAAATGATGTAGAAATAGAAGGTTTCACAAATCGATCGACCAGGCCTTTCTCGACCTTTTCTGATACGTCGGGCACTATTTCATCACAATATTCTACATTTTCACCGACTGTCGAATCATGACTCCAAAGAAGTTCACCAGGTGAGTTAGCATTATTTATCTTTGGGGTTCCCTCCGTACCATTAGACCCGCTGGTGGAAACATGTCGCATTGATACTAACGCGTTTTCGCGGGAAGTTCGAAGTGAAGATAGGATTCTATCAATACTAGGTCGCATGGAGGTAGCCTCTTGGGGCAAAGCCGACCATGCTCCTGTAGCAAAGTTTTGAAGATTGGCGTGTCTCTGGCCCCATTTTCCACCTGAGTTCTGCTTTTGGTTCCAAATATATTTCGCGACTTTCGCAGTTGCCCAGTACTCACGTTGTTCGCCTCGTTTCCTCGGCCTGGGCGCTTTCCTGGGCTTATCCATGGTACTGGTATCCACACGAATCTTCTTCGCGGGTGTCACATCCGACAATTCGTCTTCTTCGGCGGGCCGCTTTAAGCCGGCTATGTGTGTAGAGGCATCGTTGACAACATAAGCTGGGTATTGTAATACCTCAATATCCTCGGTCACGTTCGACTTTCCAACCTGTTTTCGAGGTCCGTTAGAAGGCGTGGATTCTCTATATTTCGATGCAAGCGCATCGAAGAGTTCGCTTTCATCCTGCGACAGCGAAAACTCTTCTGGAATATACGGTTCCGGGTGCATTTCTCTCATCTTCTCCTTGATCATGACTACTTTGGGGTCAGCAGCCAGATCTGTGATAGTAGACCCACCTTGCTGCTTCTTAGCAAGTACGCAACATTCTTGAAGCTTGCCATTATCGTCGAGAAAAAAGAAGCGTTGCTGTACCAGTACACCGGCTTTCTCCATCTTATTGACTACATTCTGGCATACCTTCCAGTCTGGGGGCTCAATATCACTATACTTTTTGACCCAGAGAGATACCATAGCCAAGTACAAAGATCGCTGTCCCGGGAAGACACCGTTGTTCTTGTCAAGAAGATGCTGGATGATACCGGTTGTTCGATCTTTACGTACCGTGCCTACAGTAAGTGTAGATGACTTACGGGACTTTTTCGGAGTTAATTGGTTTAGCCGTGTAGCTTCGTTGTTTAGCTGGCTGTCAACCATCCCAGAATCCGGAATATCATTTCTCCCATTGTCATTGAGAGGATGGCTGATGGCGGTCGGCGGGACAGCTGCTCCAGATATATGGTGGCCGATAGATGTGACCGATTTTAATGAAGTAGGTCGTAGACTGAAATCAGATGGCGCAGGCTCCCTGTTACTGGCTTCCGTTTGCTCTGAATGAGCTTGATGGGCTTTAGTATAAGACTCGGGGTTCTCAGCTCTAGATTTTCGGTCGCGATCGCGTGCTAAGGCAAGGTTGCTTTTTTGTTTCTGAGTATTCTCCCGTGCAGTAGTACTGGTTTGTCCTCGTCTGATGTCAGGCCCACTAGCTTGAGGTTGTTCCTTAGGCATAACCTGGAATAGCATTTGATTCGCCTGGTGCGCTGGAGAAACCGTACCGTAAAGGTTGGGCAAAGCTGCTTGGCTATTCTCTCTTCGTTTTCGATGATCGATAACATCATAAGCTTCTACATCTTTCAACACGATAGAGCTTCCAGCATATCTTTGCGCAACTGAATCACTAGTATCCTCACTGGGTACGAGATTCTCACCAAGGCGAATACGCTTAGGAGGTAGCAGGGGCCGACCGCTTCCAATATCAGAGTTGCGCTGTGATGGTTTACGAGCTAAGTCTGGCAATTGGAGGTCATCGAAGCCCTGGCCCTGCTCCTGGCCGTTAGATGTCTTAGGTATTGGATCTGGCTTCGCAAGTTGCCTGGGAGGTGGCAGCGGGGCTGGGACGTAAGCGGGATTGCAAGCAGTACGGGATTTGTTAAGGTGATAGTCCAAGCCGTTCGGATTCTTCCAACTATTACCACACTTATCACACCTAAATACCGTCTTGCCGCCACGTTTTGTCGGTTTCTGCTTAGCCTGATTTTGCTCCGATTCTGCCAATAAGGTAGAGTTGCCTTCAATCTCAGCTTGCGGTGGGCCTTGCGCCGGATTTGTAGGCAGGGGATCAGGTTGGTACGAAGAATGTTCACCAGAGTTTTCTGGTTGGCTATTATATAAACGCTCCAACAAAGGCTTGAGTGAATTGCACTTCAATGTGAGGACAAGTGATTTTTTTCGTCGCCCCTTTTTCCCGGAGGGATCTAACGAGTTGTCGGGCTCACGATATACACCAGGTGGTCGAGAAATTGGCGGAGGCGGTAGAAGCGGTGTAAGAGAAGTTGGTGACCCTATGTCAAGGGCAGGCTGGTGCGGGATGGCAGTAGGTACGGGAATAGGCTCGTTCACGTTTAGATATGCTCCCTGGTTGTCGTTCGTTATCTCTTTATCTCCCTGAAAATTCCCCGATGGTGGTTCCTCTGTTCTGGATATTTTGTTGGGATATTCTTGCATATCACCGCTTGTATCTTTAGTAGGTTCCTCGTTCGAACTTCTCTTCCGCTTCCGACCCTTCTTTGGTTTTGGCGCTAGTAGAGTATTGTGAAGGTGGGAGAGCGAAACAGGTTCTGACGCCAATTTGGATGATTGGGGCTGCGAATACACATAACTAGCTCTCGAAATCATCGAATCGTATGACGAAGTTTGCCCATCTACAATACGGTCAGCCAAATTTGCTTCTTGGTCATTAGATTTGTTCTTATTGCTGTTTCCGACAACAGAATTACCGGCTTCGCCATCCGCGAAGAATTGGTAGGTCATGGTCTTTCCTATGCGGTTAAGCTGTGAGGTGACGTTGAGGTGTTGTAGATGAGGGGGCTGAGAATTGGGCAACGATAGCGTCCCGGTAAGTGCGGCAATGTACTTGCGGTAACCATGTCCCAATGTCTGGCGACCGATTTCGAGATTCGAGGATCCCTTAGAGCCAGCTCTCTTGATTATCTCGAATGTTGTGTTGACCATAGGCTTATATGGAGTCCACAAAGATGGTACCAATTGTTCTTTATCTGACGATTTGATTTGGCGCTCTTGGTTCGATGACTGCTTGGATTTGACTTGACTATGAGGACTGAACTTAACCCCCTTATTATATCGAGCTCGCGACGCTTGCCCTCTTTTCCCTAGTCGCGCCGAGGGGACTTTAATATGAGCACTCGGCGTAGTCCGGAAGACTCTCCACTCTTCAGCCGTCGGTTCTCTGATGAATTTGACACAGTCTTTGAAGAGCTTCTGGCCGTTCGCGAATCTTGCTGCTACAAACGTGACTGCTCCTATGCTGGTAAACCACCGAGACGTCTTCGCCAGGGCTCTCATTTGTGGCACGCGATTAGCATCCAACTTAGTTCGAACATCGCAGTATCTCATAATGCCCCATGCTTTGATGACAGCATTAAATGCTTGTGCAATGGCTATATAATCAAGTCTCTCGCCGTTCCAGCTAGCGCTAAACGGAACCGGGCGAAGATCTTTGGTTAAAGTCTCCCTTGATAAGTCAAGCTTCTCAAGATTGAGGCCGTCACGGTTTTCTTTCGCGTTATCGGCAAATCGAGCAAGCCACAGTTTACTGGAGCGACATCCTCGAAGAATAATAGACTGTTTGATAATGTAGCCCTTTTTTGCTAGAGCATCGGTGCGCGTGGGGAGAGATCTCTTATCTTGACCAGACAGTCGGACCAAGTCCCCTTGAAGAATGCCTTTTTCCCTCACAGATGCAATATCAACAAGTGCTTTCCATTCAAATAACGGTAGCCGTTTAAGGTCTGGGCCATGGCCAGCGATCGTCTTCCATTGCCGTTCATCCGAAACATGAAGACGAGGTCTGTACTTCGAAGAAATTCCCTCCGGCCTTCGGTGGCTCTTTAAAGGGCGCTGGCGCTCATTTAGTGGAGTCGAAGTTTGATTTTTGGATATTTCAACCACCTCTGCGGGCGACAAGTCCTCTTCCTCTTCCGGAAGAGCGAGGATCTCCTCTAGCTTGCAATGGTTGAATTGCCTGTTAGTGCCCACAGAGACGTCTGCCCTTGATACTAGCCACCCCCAGACCTTTGAGCACATGGAAAGATCATAGCTGCGAGCATCCTGGTGGATCCGTGGTGCATCGCTTGGCTTCTGTCCTTCATCGCGATGCTCTGCTGAAGAATTACTGGTCTGCTGAGCACCGCTATAAAAAGCTTCTATTGTCTTCAACAATGTAGAAACCGAACATCCTAATATCGAATAAGTAAGCTTTGGTTGAGGCTATTAAATAAAGCATCTCTCGACAAAATCTGATTGGAATCGTCAATAGACTCAGTAAATTTAAATATTACTCACCTCGAACGCCAGAGAAGGCTATTTCTGTCAGGAGGGACTCGATCAGCTCGTCGAGGCCAATCTCCATCTTGCACGTGGGTATTCAAGCATGGAAAAAAGGGAGAAAATGATGATATAATTTTAGGCGCTAAAAGGATCGAACCAGTGTGCTTCGGGGATCTGACTTGCAAACAGGCATGAAGTCGTTTCTAAATCGAGAATGGAAGAATGATTTGCAGTGAGGGGAACTTGAAACTTCCAATGGCAGTGAATTCAACTTGTGGGGCGTGCCTTGTACATAGGTACCTAGTGGCACCTTAACATTACCTAACCGCACATGTATCAGGTGACTCACAATTCCGAATCAAGCGGCTTAATATCGGCTGAACTTTCAAGGTTGTTATCTTATTTTACTCCTTTGTTACACAAGCTTACCTTAACATATTATTAGGTATGTAATACGATAATATGTTAAAAATTTAAATTTAAAATTATAACTAACCCGGAAGACTTCTAATTAAATGATTTATATTCTTCAATATGTCACGATAAATAGTAAGGTTGAAATGGACGCAATTAGGACCTTTTTAAGTATATCCTAACAAGAACTACCTATAGTCTAGAACATTCGCCACAGCCCCGTCCATCTACCTCAGGTAGTCACTTATACCGGCCGTCATTATGAGTTCATTAAAAGTTAGACGAAAACCGTATTAAATCAATAACCTATGTGAGACTAGAAGCATTCCTCACGCGAGTCACTACTAGGATTCGCCGCTGAGTTGGGAGGCCTGCTTTCACAGTATGACTTCTTCTTCATTCGCAGGGTCATCTGAAAGATGAGTCCAGTGATGTTGGGAATACACTCATATGCGCCGTATCCGTACTATTCCATCTTAATGACTACCATCTTGTAAGACTATCTTCAGTGACAACATACCGCTTACTTACGGGATGCGTGGAACCCCTAAAATGGCAGGATAGTGACTTCGTAGATTTACAGCAACACATAATAAAACTTTATTTAGTGAATCAAACATATTTACCTCACAACCCAAGGCCATGATGACGTAATACATCTTGAAGAAAGGGGTATAAATAAGAGCCCAAGGACGGTTATCAATATCTAGACACTCAACTCGCAACAAGACATCGAAATCTAAGGCTATTTTCATCTCTATCGCCACTTCAAAGACATTCATCCAATATGTATTTCAAGACCGCCATCGTTTCCGCTATTGCGCTCCTCTTCGCCAGCCAAGCCATGGGCGACGCTCCGATTGCCTACAACCCATGTTCGTTTGCCTCTCCTGAACTCGGACCTTGATATCAGTCTAACCTCCCTGTCTATTACAGACGCAGCTTGCAACTGCCCAGACAACTGCTTTCATAGACCAGGCTCCATATGCGAGTACTATGCTGATGACTCTCACCATTTAGTCTATCATGGAAGTAAGTGATACCGAGAAATTGAACCCGAATATTGTATTTGACAGTCAGCTAATTTTCTATTGTAGGATGCCATAAGAGGCACCACCACGTATTGACTGTATGTAACTCCAATGGTTATCTTGGTTCCCCTCTAGCTCTCCTTGAGCAGACGAAGGAAGCTGTCGTCATCGAGAACATGCCTCGGCAGTACAGGTATTGATTACTAACTTCCTTGAATCTAGTGCATTCCTCGTTAAGGAGCTAAAGCCCTGATGAGCTCGGTATCTTGACGCAAAAGAAGTATGAATAGTGGAGATATAGGTAGAAAAGCTGTGGAATCTTATATTGTGTATTAGATGAGGATGCTCTTGTCTATACTTCCGCAGCTGTGTACTATATAATCATATTCTTCATCTAGGTGCTAACGTATGTAGGGAGCTTGTGTTATGACAGTATTTCTTTCAGAAACAATGATTCAGAAGGATCTTCTAATTTGTGCCATGCCTTTAACAATAAAATTTGAAGTTCCCCACCGCTATATATAAGTCGCTTAGAAAAGACGGTAGTTGCCTACCTGCCTCATAGGACTTTATCATTGCCAACTACTGCTTTCAAAGGCCGTTCATATTACCATCCGATTAAGACTAGGGTTATAGTTGATCTATGTGATTTTCGAGTTCGTGTAAATTCGCAGCGTAATTGTCAAGTTTATCCCATTAAGGGGCCAAAAAAAATATCCACTGCCTTAACTAGTTAATGGCTTTAAAAAGTTGAAATTCGCTGCCAAAAATATCCTACGCCTCTTACACAATCATTCTAGAATGACCAAGAATGTCACATAGCCGATCCATACTAAAGGGAGGTTATATTAATCAAATTCCTGATGATCCAATTAATTGTGTCGAGATCATGGACAAAAGAGATATTTACTTACACCGCCGGAAAGATCTAATGTAACTACCAGGTATATCTAAACCTAGAAGCTACCGGCTTTGGCTTTCAACGTATTTACTATATAATTGGCAAGTTTCGCCGTCAAAGCTTTCCAATTAGCACGATTTGTTGTATTTTGAGTGAGTGCATGTGCTAAGACCCGCAAGAGTCTCTAAGCCGTACTATCTTACGACTTATTAATTCCAGCTTGCTTTAAGCACCGGAAAAGCTATCAACCCATCATTGACTCGGTAATTCGTATAGGTGGCTTGATAAAATACTCATAAGCACGCGTAATAATATTTATTTAGAGACATACACTTCCTAGTGTAGGATGTTTTAGGTGACACTTGCATTGTAGCTTTTATCCTCTTAAGGCTTTATTACACTGGCTTACTTTAATCTAATATAGACACTTCTACATTCAAGGTTACATTTATCGAAGGGTCGGTGATCAGGAAGTTTACACATATAGTAAACGCAATTACGCCCAATTTATATTATCTTTTGCTTGCCACTGTATATCGTGGATTTTATACCCCTATGAGTGAAACTGTCTATCTAGTGAGTTAAATTAGAGATCACAATGTTGGACTCCCTGAAAGCTAGGCAGCTAACGATGGCTTTGAGAAGTACCTAGGTAAGTAAATCACGCTTTCACATACGGCCCCCACGATCAACATGATTATATTCTACACTAGGTAGTAATATTAATTGGTAGCACGAAGATTATTTGCCTCGTTCCACCATGCAGTCACCATTTTACGAGGCTATGTTCCTCTACCAGTCTTTAGAACGCTTGTGACTGGGAAAATAAATTTGATGAGATGCAGACGCTTGAAAGTTCATGACAATACAGGTGGTGTGATATTCTAGGAAATGAAAGAAGAATTTACCTCATAAACTAGATGTGTAAGAGATACATAGCAAATGGTCGAGCTAGTGAGTATAAGAGGACCAAGAGGGTCCGGTCTTGTCGACTTCCCTTCTTCGCCGATATCCACTCAACTCCCCACAAGACATTAAGCCCTAAGACTACTCCCAGATATATCATTAGAGATATTTATCTAAGATGTATTTTAAAACCGCTATCGTCTCTGCCGTTGCGCTCCTTTTCGCTGGCCAGGCTATGGGCGCCGCCCTCATCGCTTCTAACCCAGGTTTGCTTGTCCTTTAATGAACTTAAAACCTGGAAGCAAGATCTAATTTACAATCTTCCATAGGTGCCGCCTGTAACTGCCCGAAGAACTGCTCGCATAAAGATGGCTCTAGTTGCAAGTATTATATCGGTCCCTCTGGCAGTTCCCCGGTTGTGTCTGGTAGTAAGCAACCCCGAAAATTCAAGCTTTGTATCGGACGGCTAGCTAATCCCCTATTACAGCATGCCGTAACCAAAACGGAAGACTGATGGTATGTGGCTTTAACAATATTTTTCTTTGCGACCTTCAGAATATTATATCGGTTACTGACTTTATCATAATAGTGCGTTTCATAGAAGGTCTCCAGCGCTGATCGTCTGGATATCTCGACACACGAGCTCGAAATGGGGAATATAAAACATAGAAAAATCCAGCGGGATCTTGTATCGTATACTACGGAGTGATGTTAGTTTTCATGCTTTTATGACTTTATATATTAGCATAAACCGGTCATTACTACATATTTCTATGCTCTGCCTAAGATACCTGTGTATCGTTCAGGCGTCCAAAGCTTGTTGCAAGCTTCAAACAGTTATTATAAAATATATAACCAAGGGTCTTAGATTATACTTTTAATTAGTTCCGGGTTGTTATAGATAAATCTTAAAATACTCTACTATGATATACACATCATTTGTAAAAGACGGTGGCCATACGAGATTGTCGTCAGCTGCCCCTTAAGCACGAGCATCCATACTATCACTTATTAACCTTAACTACGTCGCTTGACTGCTTAGGTAGTATTAATATTTTCTCCCGACAGGAATTGTAGTTGATTGAAGCAGTTCTCGGATTCATGTGGTATACCTAGTCGATGAGAAAAAGAGTATTCTTAGATTCAATAAAAATAATAGCTATTCTAAAAGAGTGGAAGATATAGCAGATAAACGCCTGCGTGCTCTGTAGGGTTAGGTGGCAGCCCCCCATAGATATCCATCAATACTGCCCTTTGAATTGTGCGATTGTCTGGTCTGCTTGGAGTAGAATTATAGCAGGACCAGGGGAATCGACACGCCACTATCGCATTGTTCCATTTCTTGATCAACTGCTTTTATTTCGTCTGGTTCACCTACACTTCTAATACTGTCAAAGACACAACTGGAGCTATCACGCTTTCTCTTATGGCCAGCCGTGGAGTCGATATGTGTACTCGAAGGCGGGGGTCCGACGATAGATCAGAATGCTTTTGAATTGATAATTTGAATGTGGAGAATCTTCGAGCTTGCAACATCCCAGAGTCGCGGATCCGAATTGTCAGGGTAAATGTGCTGGATAATTGTCAGAGATACCCGTTGAGTGATGTCATACACAGAGTGGGTATCTAGGGTGGGTAGACCAAGTAATATATTGTATTGATCTAGTAACGCCTGGCCTTCTATCCTCTTACGAGGGCGCTGTGCGCCCCTTATATAATAGATAGACCCCTGTAGATACCCTTAACCCACTTATCCCCTGACAATACAAACAAATAACCCGTGAGCATGAGGTTCGGGAACATGAGCGTCAGAAGGCTTCTGAGCCTGTTTTCTCCATCTAATCGAAAGCGAGAAAGAGGGAAAGCGGAAAGCATTACGCTTCAGTGGCATCTTTTGATGCCAATCCATCGCAGAAAACTGTGCTAGTAGATTTGAAAGACCTTTGAGTTGAACCTGATGAAAATTGGCCACAATTTAGAGCAAGTATTGCAGGCTGGATATTTCACGACAGTATGCTTCAGTCCTTACGCCATCCACCGGGGCGCGGATATGCTGTGCTATCTCAGCTTAGAATCCTGATGATAGTGTTTCGGGGTAAGGTATTATATGAAGCAGGAAATATTTTCCCCTAGTTATATTGTTCATTTTAAGTACAGCGCAACTACAGTGACTAACCCTTTATCCGAGTGTCTAGCTCAATAGGAAGACGTATAGGTAGGTAGTCAGGCGAAGTTTCAAGGTCCGGATCAACTATACGTTAATCCACGCGTGTACACTCACATAAATCCACATATATACACGTTAATCCATATGGTCCATACATGTAAATATATTAATATACTTAAAGTTTTTCTTTTAAAATAAAAATAAAGATAACTTTAAAATTCATTTTAAATAAAACGTTTATAAAAAAAGTTCAACACGATAACCCTCCGTAAATTTAAAGCGTTAACCATGTCTTTTGTTCTCAATGTCTTATTTAAAGTTCTATTAATCCTAACAGCGCCTCTGCAATTGCGCTCCTATATGGGCTGTTATCTGGGCTATTATCTGGGCTATCTGGGCGCCTTCTACTGACATTATCTATTGTAGTCTGACCGTATAGCTCAGTTTGATCAACCATGTCTGAGTCTTGCCCAGATTGTAGGAACCTATTAGTCTCAACTAGGAAGACTTGGTCGTGTTGTCTCCATTTTTGGGGCCTCATCAAAGTATTAGTGGTTGGAAGAGGAATGGGGTCTCCGGCCAGAAGATCTATAGAATTTGACCCATGTAAGTTGATATGGAAAATGGGCTGACCATTAAGCACGTCACATGTGTGTGCGCCAGTTATCTCATGTTCCCAAGGACCGACAGTAAAGCGAATGCTTTCGTGTCGTTTTTGGCTTGCAGATCGCCATATTCTGTCGAGATATGTTCGTCTTGTTTCTAAGCGCAATGGTGCCAGCTGTGAGCCTGGCTCAACTAGAGAGAACCAAAGCTTCTTCGCGTGATCAAGGCCAAAAATTAGAATAACCTTTCCGTTGTAGGGCTGAGTCATTTGGTAGGTCGCGAAAGCCAACGGAAATTTTGTTCCGTATGTCATCAGTAGATTGTGTTCTTCACACCACAGAAAGCCTGGAGAAACTTTGATCCTTTCCAATAGCCCGAAATTCGGTAGACCATGTGTATAAATGGTCTTAGGAAGACGTATAGAGTTTTGATGAAGGTTACTAAGGCAATCTTGGAGGTGGTATATCTTATGAGTGACAAATATATCGTCCTGGCTAGGAATGGAAACAGGTTCGTCCGAGACGTATGTTACGCTTGTTATGTTTGTTCTAGCGTAAACACTCCCCCCCACCCATCTCATATGGATCCCCAAAGGCGAGGAGGGCTTCTCATCGTAGCAATAAAGAGGCATGGTAAATGGAGAATCCAGACCTTTACCCCATAGAGCAGCTATGAACTTGACGCCTTTGCTAGTAATGGTAATTTCATCATTATACATAGCATGCTGCGTAGGCTTGACCTTGTTGGCTGAGTCGAACTCGCGCGGATGACACGCAAACACCCCGTGGAGGGACTGGTTGAATTTGAAGAGACTGTCGATATGCTCAATATCGTGGGTCTTCAATATGTTATCAGGATTGCACTCATTGATGTCCTTTACTACCCATGCGAATAAGGTTGGATCACTGGTCTGCATGATGATCTCTTCTTGAAGTCGAATGAATGCTTTGTCCCCTTCTCCATACCCCAAGTGCATACGACTGATACCAAATATGCCTATTAAGCAATATGCCATATCCTCCTTTCTGGTTGTTTCCCTTTTCGCTGCCCAGGACATTTTCTGGCAAGCTGGAACAGAAGACAAGTACCGCTTGATCCGATTACTGTCGTTAAGTTTCAAAAGTTGAGGATCGATCCTGGAGATCATGGCAATTCTGTTGCTAAGGTCCGTATCCATATCGTATACATCGTCGATGCTATAACCATTCCGGCTGCCACAGTATTCCCAGAGCTTGTTATAGAATAGAACTCGGGACGGGGCAATTAGCTCTTGCAGCGTCCACCCTCTAAAAAACCACGATGAAGGGCCAAGTTCAGTCCTATCTACATCGCTCAGATACACGATGCAAACTTGCGACTGTGCGTACCATTGGTACATAGAGTTGATTGCTTCCGAGAGTTCCGGTATATCCCTGTTATTGATGCAGCAACTGTCAATCCATATCCATTGGATATTGAGGCCCCAGGCAATATCGCGAGCCTTCTCAACCTTCGCCCAGCTACGTGCGTGGCGTTCTTGATTCCCTTCCAATCGTGCCTGAAAATCCTGATAAGTAACTTCTTCTGGATTCCCACTTGCGTCTGCAAACCACCTATGCGATAAGATGGCATAATTGGGTACTTCGCCAGGATCAAACTCGTGGAGCTTCCATTCGCCGCAATGAATGAGCCGGATCATGATGGTAATAAGGCCGGTCCGTTTAGCTTAGGCCTGAGCGTATATTTGGCATGAATCGTGATTGCAATATTCGTGGAAGAGCTTGTGGTAGATTCGAGTGATGGGTGTTACATTCTTTCATAAAAGATCTAGCATGCGTAATCATGGCACAGCCCCTTAAACTTGCCATGGCAATTGGGTTAGATTCCCTCGGTACCGTATGCAGGACAACTCCAATCATAAGCTGTAATTGGACTTCCTTCAAGGCTATCGAAAACGTGAAAAGGCTCCGATCATGGAGAAACTTCAAGATTACGTGGATTTGATGTAACTACCCAGGTTATAAAGTAGCATTTGATGGCGAGGCAGTCGATTGCTATTACTATAAGTAGTATTTCTACGTAATACCCTAGCTGGAACTTCATTCGTAATAACGTCGCAAATTCTCATGGCATTAGGGTATCTATGTTGTTCAAAGCTAATATGGCACATGCTCTAATATTAGGTCGTATGTAAAGATGGCCGTTTCTCGCTCATCAACTTCCGGTAGGAGGCGACAATATCGTCCCTCACAGTCTGCAACTCCTCTCTTCGTCTTAAGCTTCCCGCAGCCTTCGGAATACCGTCAATCTCGACCGCTGCGCCTCTGACGGTCATCTTCCTCTGCGGCTTGACGGTAAACTCCGGCGGCGCCTTAACGACATCGTGCAAGCCGGCTTTCGTCTCGCCGCGTTTCTTCTTTAAGGCTTCCCATGGATCCTCTTCGTCGCTAGCAGCCTCGCCCAGATACTTTGCTCTCTTCCCCTTCTTTTTCTTCTTACCACCACTCTGTGAGTCGAGTTTCCATGTGACACCTGATTCTTCATCTTCTAATTCTTTCTCCGCTAAGAGTTCAAGTTCTTCTTCTCTTTTTTCCTTAATCTTTCGATCTTCTTCTCGCCATTCGTCGTATAACTTGTGCATCTTCATTTCCTTCTTGGTCTTCCATACTTTTAGGCCTAGAGGATCTTTACCATTCCTAACCGAATTATTGATCAAACCGCTGACAGGCAGCGCAGCATCTACTCGAGCTGCAAAATCCGACATACGCTCGCCAGGCTGGATTTTAGGAAGTTGCTTTTCTGTCTTTGCTTCTGTTTTGGTTTCGACCTCAGTGTTCGTTACAGCGTCCGCTTTTCTCTTTTTACTTTTTTTGGATGGTTCGTCACCGTTATCTAATCCAGACCGCGGTTTCTTGCCTCCGGCAAAGGCCATTAGCCTCTTGAACGCTCGAGGCGCATCATCTTTCTGTTTCACATCTCGCTTGCGCTTTTGGCTTTTCCCAGGCTGGCTTTGGGCCTGCTTGCTTGCAACATTTTTCTGCGATTGCGACGTTACTGGTAAAGGCTTTGCGATCTGCGAAGGGGGTAGATCGTATCTAGGTATAGAAGTTAGCCAGCCGTTAGGTTAACATGGTGGGACTGTACTTACGTAGAAGGGTCCTTTTCTCTGCGTGTATGTTTATGCGGCATCTTGATCCAAATTGTGATCTCTGAAGAAGGCAACGAAATTGAGACTGGTAATGAATTTGGGGCTCTAAATTTTTTGAGTAGGTACGTTAACCCCACATTTTAAGCTCGAGGCTTAGTTTTCTCTCTAGCACATTTGCCCCATATAAATTAGCTAAGATCAGGGACCAGCTCTAAACTGGCCGCCAAGTCCGAATCACCCATAACTAAACCTTAACAGACTTAGCTATACCATTCTAAACCCATTGCCATCATATCCTACCTACGGAATATACATCTTCGATATCTATATTTAGGTAACTATTCTACTACCAATTAAGTAAACTTGATGTACCTTATCCTTCACTGTTTTCTAACTGACGTCAGAGACGTATTGCCGAGTACAAAGAGTAATCATCGAGAGTCAAACAGACAATTGAAGTGGTAGTTGACTTAGAATATTTTATCTTTCTTACGTCTTTCTTACGCCGGTAGAATAAATAAGCCACGCCTAGCCCGATAATATAAGAAAAACTAGCGCTCCCAAATGAAGTTACCTTTAAGTAACATCTGGAACCGGCAACGTTCTCATGACTATGTACCTGTCGACGGATCCGAAGAGAATGGGAACCCTGCTGCAGCAAGGATAGGCTCAGCGGATAAAATAATACAATCGGCCCCGAAAAGGCAACGCTGGCGAAACTATCTCACATGCGGCAGTATTTGGGGGTTGATCATATTGTAGGCGTTGCTATCAAAACATAGACTACGTCAATTCGTACAACTAACCTGGAAATATAGAGCTTCTGTCTTGCTCATAAGCTTGCTCCTCTCTATCGCTAGGAGTCTATGGGGCCTGGAAGATGACCCAGACAAAGTATTTGGGAACTGGGGAAAGCCAGGTACAGAAACAGAGGGGTTGGCCTGGTACCCTACAGACTTTCTCCGTGATGTTCTTCCGATTCGATGTCACTCGCATAACGATTACTGGCGCAAGGTTCCTCTCTTCTCGGCTCTACACGCTGGTTGTATCGGGGTCGAAGCAGACGTTTGGCTTTTCAACGACGATCCAGAACTCTACGTTGGACATGATGAGGCCGCTTTAACTCCGAATCGCACATTTACGTCTCTGTACGTAAATCCTATAGTGGACCTACTCAATCGCACGAACCTGCAAACACAATTCTATAACGGTACACGTCGAGGTGTTTTCGACTACGACCCGGAACAGACAGTAATTCTCCTTGTGGACTTAAAGACTGGCGGGGCTAAGACTTGGCCACATGTCCTAGCACAGCTCGAACCCTTGAGATCGAGGGGCTGGTTAACTTCCTTCGACGATGGGGTTGTCCATCAGCGCCAAGTAACCGTCGTTGGGACGGGGAATACGCCGTTCGATCTACTCGCAAAAAACGCGACGTATAGAGACGCATTCTTCGATGCCCCTCTGACAAATATGTGGGAGGATCCAGATGCCTCGGACACGAAGTCTACCGAAGTTCCTATCTATAATGACTCTAATTCATTTTATGCGAGCACAAGCTTTGCAGATAGTATAGGGATCGTCCTAGGCGGTTTCAGTGAAAAACAACTTCGTACGATCCGCGGTCAGATCAAGGGTGCTCATCGCAGAGGACTAAAGGTTCGATATTGGGACACGCCTGGCTGGCCAATTGGTATCAGAAACAAAGTCTGGCACACATTGATGGAAGAGGGCGCAGACATATTGAATGTGGATGATTTGAGGGGAGCTTCGAAATTAGACTGGTGACGGGGTCTTGCTATAGAAAAGGAGGCAATGGCTATATCCTATTCCTATTCCTGATTAAACATCGTAAAATACATAGTTTTACATAGACTCTTAGACTCTTAAACAACTACGCGTAGGGGAATAAAGCTATAATAGCCCCACTCTACAGGGTAGTATTTAGAGCTATTGACGGCCCCACCCCCGCTATTACATATGTACCTACCTAGGTTAAGACACTACGCATCTCGAATCAAAGCTACCCCTCCAAGCTTCTTTCATGCTATTAACTTTGAAAGCACTGGCTTAAAGTTATACTCATTTTCTCAATCTCCAAAAGCCTTGCTTTTCAGAAATGTCCGATAAAACTGCATTGATCACCGGAGCCACTGGCCTACTAGGCAGACAGGTTGTAAGAGCCTTCGAAAGAGGCAAGTGGAACGTTAAAGGAACAGGTTACTCTCGTGCCGACGGGTCATCGATCCTCAAGGTCGATCTAGTAAATGCAGAGCAAGTAGAGGCTACCCTTGACAATGTCAAGTACGTGATGCCTATATTAAGATTAACATCCATTCATAAGAGTATACGTACTTGCTAACATTATCTTTTACTTCCAAGGCCACAGGTTGTAGTTCACTGTCAGTTATATCCTATTTTCACTCACTCGTCCATAGATTCGGGCGAAACTAACACTGGCTAGGCGCTGCAAACCGATTCCCCGACAAGTGTGACAACGACCCCGAGGGAACGCGCGCCCTAAATGTCGAAGCTACTAGGAAACTTGCTTCCCTGTGCGCAGCGCGTGGTATCTTCCTGATCTATATATCCACCGACTATGTCTTCCCGGGCAAGCCTGGCGAGGCACCGTACGAGGCGGATGCAAAGCCGCAACCTACCAACTTATACGGGCAGACAAAACTAGACGGGGAGCAGGTTGTACTAGAGGAATATCAACGCGCCGGCAAGGCAGGTCTTGGTGTTGTCCTACGTGTTCCCGTACTATACGGTGATGTCGAGGTGCCATCTGAGAGCGCTGTGAATGTGCTTATGGAATCTGTTTGGAAAGCACAAGAACCAGGTGCTAAAATCAAGATGGACCACTGGGCTCTCCGTTATCCTACCAATGGTAAGTTTAAAATATTGTGTCTCGGAAATTAGGTTTGCATGTACTCCTTTCTCGGTGGATGCTAACATGTTCGCAGTATGTTGTAATGCCTTTTACCGCTGTTTCATCCCTTCCGCGAAACCATACTTTAATATAATTGTGTAGGATACTGACACGTAGTAGACCGAAGATGTAGGACGGGTGTGTTACGGTATGTTTCTCTTCGCATATAACACAATTTCGCATGTTTAGTTCACTTGTCCATCGCTAACAACTGAGAATAGATATTTCCCTAAAATACCTAAACACGGATGACCCATCCAAGTTACCTTATATCTTACAATTCTCTTCGGAGAGCAAGTATACCAAGTATGAGATCTGCCGGCTCTTCGGCGAAATCATGGGTCTATCGATTGCAGCCATCGAGCCCAATACCGAAGGGAACGACCCGAATGCTTCCGTCCAGAGGCCGTACGACTGCCACCTCAGCACGAGGGCACTCAAAGATATCGGCATAGACGTGGCTACTCAAGACTTTACCGGTTGGTGGAGGTGGAGTGTTAAAGCATTTAGAAAATAAGTGTCTAAGATGTTCACTTAACTAGTGGCATAACGAATTCTATCTGTATGGGAGCCAAGTATCTGGTCTCCGAAGTTCTAGTTAGAGCTATAATTACCTACCTTAGATTAGGTACTTCCATAACTCAAAACCACGAAAGCACCAGTTTATAATGAGACGAGAAGTACACACGTACAAGATATGAAAATCAATAATCAATAATCAATACAGTATTCCTTACATATTGTACACCAATTATATAGTTATATATATATATATATATATATGCCGGAGGTGTTCTATTCCGATACGAGACACGTTTTCGTCTAGTAACCCAACATTAGGGAACCTCGTATCAATTCAACGATCATCCTTACCTACCTTAGGTAGGCATGCGGACGAGTTGAAGTCAATAATAAAGTCCACGGGATTCCGGTTTAGATGTAGGGTATCGGCGAGCAGACTATTTTTGACCTTGGACTCTCAGCTGAATACGATATTGACGGTGTTGCTAGCCAGCCTCATTAGTCTTTTGCATGGAACCTAATTTTGCTTGTGCCTGCATGCATTTTGCATTTGCATAGATGTAGACCCTCTTTAAGACCTAATATTTCCTGCAAACCACGCGTGCGAAATGGGGGTAAGTTATGATAATGGTAACATTGAAGTGGGTAGAGTTTCGGAATATGGGCTATAAATATGGACTATATATGGTAACTCCATGTAGCCTTTTGTCTTACTTGATTCTCGTGCCTTGGCCACATGTCGAATCTACATAGTAGATATGCCACATGCATGAAGACCAATTGTCAGCTGGTACCAAAGTTGAGAAATTTAGGTACTTTTCTGTGCCTGGCGAGCATAGGCTTTTAGTGGTCCCTGATTATCCAAAGTGGTCTTAGTGGATCGTTGACGCGATGCGGGATCCCCTGCATTTTACATACATACATGTACATATAATGTAGGTACATACATAGATACATAGTGTACATGCAATGACCTGAAATGGCCCTTGCATGAGAAGCTGGAAAGTTACCGAAGCCAAGATTCCCTAACTGAGATTAGTACGATTAGTGCATATTTCCCCTTACATAGGTACCTACCTTTTCCAAGGTTCCTTTCTTTTTGCTGCTCGTCATGTCAGTAGCCAACTAACTTAGACCAATCTATTCAATTCATTAGCCATCCACAATCTTCAATCCATCCACCAGCCAATTAACCAGCCGAATATTATTCGCGATAATTAAGATACAATACTCCACATACTCTGACCCAATACGGACATGGCCCGGTAGATACTCCTTGCTCTTCTCCTTGCTCTTCCTCTCCTACCAATAAAAAATAAGAGTTGATTTCTCGGCAATCTGCCAAATTTGATCAGTTGCTTTGATTGAGAATCCTTTTTGGCGGCAGGACCATCCCCGTACGTCAGATGATCTGATGGTAACGGGCGCGTATGGAGATTACAGCGCTATCTCTATCTTCAGTTAAACCCCCAAGATATACGCTTGCTTCACTGCACTATTCCGATCACCATGGATGGGAGGAAGTAGACGGAAAAGGAGCAGACACCCTAGCATTCACCTAGGTTAGCGCTAGATGCCGTTCTGCCGTTTCGTCGTCGTGTCTAAACGCCTGTTAGAATAGGTACCTAGGTACCTAACTTATACCAACCGTGTACCGTCACCTTCATTGGCGACAAACGTCTAGGTTAGATTTGTACTCGAACATTGCGCTCTTGAAGCTTGTTTCAAGTACGATCTGTTGCTGAGCACTCTGCGCTCCCTGCACACTTCGCTGGACATCGTCATTATCTTGTCCTGCGGACCAATGGGTTTTAGCGGCACAGATTTCTCCTTGTTATGTGCCTGTTGATTTTGCATCTTTAAGCGGTTTGGTTCCACAAACACCCCAGCACGATGTCGACAGGGTCCGAGACGGTCACTTTACCAAGTGGCTCATTACCGCCCAACTTCTCCCGTCTAAATTTCCCCTTCGAAAATAGACTCAATTGGAGAGCCCAAAGCCTAAGAGAGAGAAGCCTCCCATTAACCGCAAACACAGTAGACAAAATGGCAGCTCAACGTAGTCGTCGCGAGAGCAGCGAGCAGTACCAGAGTACTACACCTGGAAGTACTATCGCTCGATCCATGTCTCGTTACCGTAGGCGGGCAGGTAGCGTTGCTGTCAACGTCGATGCAACCCAAAAAATTAATTCCGATCCACCACCCCCATGGGAACCTCCGATACCCCCCCCTGTGCCAACTATACCACGTCGGTTAAGGACCGCCAGCATGACACAAAAGGGGAGTGACGCCCCGGCTATCACGCTCGATTCTTCTCCGCGACATCAGATGCGCCATACCGAGAGCACGCGAAGGCATACGCTGCATCGAAGTATGGCAGATCAATATCAGAGCCGTCCTAGCACGGCGAAAAGCGCAAAGAGCGAAGAGAGCGGATGGCGGAGGCTTGCTAGTCGAGATGGGCGACGAAAGAGGCTAAACAGCGGGGAGGATGACGAAGCGTTAAAACGAGAAGTTGCGCGCTTGGAGGCCGAAAATCATCGACTATTAATCGAGCAGAAGAGAAAGGACCTCCAAAGGTTAGAAGTGGAGTTGGCGAACAGTCCAAGGCCGTCATTTCAGACGCAATCGCCCAAGCCGAGAAGTCCTGTAATTGAAAAGTTCGTCCTCTTGACCAAGGGGCGGAAAAGTAGGGATGGATTATCTCCTGGGCTTTCTCCGACATCCTCAACCGTCAGTGTCGAACCCACGAAAATTCAACCAACCGGAATAGAGCCTGGCGGAAGAGGCATTGTGCCACAGACGGATGCGCCTCAGTCTGCGATCAATGCTGGAGATCGAGTAAGTGCGAATTGTGACTAGATGCAATCTAATAATATGTGTTAATATGATGTTAGAATGTCGCGGTGCGCTATAGACAGCATATCTTTAGTGTGGAGGTCACCCCCGAGACGACTGCGGATGATATAATAGCCTACGTTTTTAAGATGATGGGCTCTAGCGATATTGATCCGTCGAATTACGTCGTTAAGGAAACTTATAGCGTACTAGGTCTTGAGCGCCGTTTACGACGCTACGAGCATATCCGAGACGTCATGAATTCTTGGGATCGAGATACTCACAACCAATTGACAGTAGCATTATCCGACTCCGAAGAACAGGGTCGGGAGTTAGACATCGACTCGGTTCCAAGCCTCGACGAACCACCGCAAGGTTTCCAGTTATACATGTACCACTCAAACCGCCCCGGGAAGTGGAACAAGAGATGGATCACCCTTCTTGGAAATGGACAGATAACCTGTGCGAAGAAGCCGAACGCCAACTCAACTGACAAAGATACCACAAGCCTATGTCGTCTATCCGACTACGATATATATACACCTACAGAGTCACAGATGCGGAGGCATATTAAACCACCCAAGCGATATTGCTTCGCGGTGAAGAGTCAACAGAAGACCAACGTATTTATGAATATTGAGAACTATGTCCAGTATTTCTGTACCGAAGACCCTAAAATTGCGGTCCAATTTAGGGAAAAGGTACAGGGTTGGCGCAGCTGGTACCTTGTGGATCGTAGGCCGGCAGCCCCGAAACCATTGAGGAAAATCTCGATCAGGAAGACGGATGATAAGCCGCCTCAAATCACATCTCCTTCAGTCGCGCAGGCTCCAAAGAAGTCGGCGAGCGTTGCTTCGATAAACGGCCACCGTCTCCAGGTGTCCGTTGATGAAACGCCATATGCCATTGGCCAGTTTGAGCCGCTTCTCGACATGAAGCGCTTCGATAAGCGATTATCTCAGTTTGGACAGGATTTCTTACCACCTGTGCCGGATATATCGACCATGCCAAAGGATATTCCTTCCCATCATCTCAATTCTAATGCGACGACCGAGAAGATAGACAGGAGCAGCAAGAACGAGCGGAAATTGATAGACAAAATTAATACGACAATTGACGATGGATTTACTGGCAACGGTCTGCTTGGTGAAGGATATGAAGAGCGGAAACACGCCCATGTAGAAACAGATCAGCCGGAACGAGGACGACAAAGACACAGAAATGACGGCTTTACGGAGGGCCCTTCGCTGTTGAATCGGAAGTCTGAACCGGAGACGCCGGTTGAAAAACCTGAATCTCCTTGGTTCCCATCAGCTCTTGAGCATTCTGCAAGACAGCGCAGTGTCGGCTCCATCTCCTCTTCCACGCGCCCGAACACCTCTGCAGGCGTCATCCGCACGCCTACACATACGCATACCTACACACGAAGACCCTCTCTTTCATCATCACGACCTCCGCCTCTCCCTTCAACTAGTAAACCTCTAGTACACGAACACCCGCACCCCCTTAGCTCACAACCGACTGGACTTTCGCACTCGAACCGCCGTGACCGACCGAAACCACTGGTCAACTTGGAAGACAACACCTTCCAAGAAGCACCACAATGGGCGAGGAGGAGTACTGGCCATGGCGTCAAAGCCCCTGCCGGCACGGCGCATCTAGTTGACCTTATTACCGTCTCGAACCCAAGCAAGCAGAGCGGGGATCCCGAAATCCCGCCGCGAAGCGCCCTCCGCCGCCCTTCCCAAACAGTCCCCCTCCCGAGCCTTTCTCGAACTAGAAGCAAAACTCAAGGCGCACCTCCCCCAAGAACCCCAATAGTGGGAACCGTTCCCCCTGTCCCGTCTCTGCCTAGGCGCGGCAGTGATCAAGAGCAATTCAAACTGAGCCCACTGCCACGAAACAGAGATCGGGAACGAGAAAGAGAACGAGCAAGGGAGAAAGAACGCGAGTATAGCTCCTATAATTCCGTACCCGGTAGGACGGGCACTTTGAAAGTGGTATAATGACACACTTATGAAAACTACCTACCTATATATTTATTACACCATCTAATCCTTAATATCGCGCCGAACGTCGCATGTTTGCTTTGTCGGGTACTTCATTACCTATGTTTTCTTATATACCTATATCAGGATCATTTTTCACAAAAGCGGCGGAGTTCCGGGAACATTTAATCATGGAGAGCGAGCGAGCAGTCATGAAAATTATATCATGGAAAGCGAAGCGAAGAAATGTGTGTTTTTTGGACTTTTTTTTTTTTTTTTTTTTTTTTTTTTTTTTTTTTTTTTCACAGATCAATGTGTTAGGATCTGTTTACGATGAGATATGGATGTCAATATAGTACCTGCGTTTCTTGCATCGTTAATACTGTTTCAGGGGCAGGATTCAAGATCAATAGATGTCTTGCCCACCTAACCTACCTTACCTTACCTATATAGCTGGCCCGCGTGTCTAGATACCTCTTTTGTAATGCCCTGCATCGGAAATGGATGCTTTCGATTAGATGCCGTATAATGAGAATCACCCTTAAGATTTCATCTCTTGTATTAGAGTTGGTTGCTATGCGATACGTTGACGGGAGAATGTATCCAAGAGTTTAAGATTCCTGCATCCTTGGCTCTAGTAAAATGTATCTTATACAAAGCGCTGTGCTTCACTGTGGGAATTAGACTGCGCGGCATAGACAGATACGTAGGTATGGGCTTATTCCCTTATTCCTAGCGAGATATCTCTATGGAAGACTATCCGGCTCTTGGTCCGAGACGCTTACTTAAAACATTACAGCCCACGATTCTATAATTCGATAGGAAGCTACGCTCTTGAACGACGTTAAGGGAATCTCATCACGTTTACCCCGGACTGGGATTGGAACGGGTCCGATATCAAGCCACAAGGTAGGTGTTACGATGCCGTGATACCCAAAGAAGCGGCTTAAATCTGAAGCTACTATCTTGTAGCCCTTTAATTAGCTGTTTGTCTACCTCGTATATTTCTTCATGGCCTTTCGGAGTATTATTTCGATACCCCCTATCCACCCCAATAGACGTGGACTTTTTAATCACATTAAGTACCTCCTACTGGTATGTATCTCTAGGTTCGAGCGCCGCAGATACCTAGGTACCTACCTATGTTGGCAGAACATTAGAGCGTAACATCACCGAGGGAAGCCCAACCTAATCGGTTGGCGATCTGAACAACGCTCTTAGCGAGCGAATAATGAGTCGGTGTATCCTATGGCGAGTTTGTTTGGGGTCAGTGCTCCGGAGTTCGGACCTGTGCAATGTGCTTTTTCTTTTAGTTTTATATCGACTTTGGTGAGACGTGAGATGGGACGTGCTTCATCAGCTTGGTTTTGGCGGTAATGCCTTGGGGAGGAAGGTAGACCTGGCTTAGGTAGTGGTTAGGGTTGGGATCCTATTGATGCTGGAGCTGGTAACTGTGATTTATACTCGGGTTATTAGTAACATTCGTTGATCTTTTTGAGACATTCCCTAGGTTTACTTCTGGAGGGTTCTTTGATATGGGTTTGGACTAAGTTTATTGTGGTGATGTTGAACGTACTCCCACGATCACTTGTTCTATTTGTTCTATGTGTAGTCGTAGTATCCATATTATTTCTCATTGGAGTAAAATCTGCAGCACGAGAATGCTGGCGTAGACCAGCTCTGATAAGAAGCCCTCTACTAGCTCAGCAGGTCTATTTACTGCCTCGAGTCCCATCCTCTTGTCGCATGCCTATGCCTAAGGGTCACCGTAGTATCTAAGAGACGCATCGTTCTACGTTCTATGGCCTTTCCGCCTGAAAAGCAGTCTGAGCAGAGTTTGTAGATATGGAATTTCTAGGCGTGGACTACGGGAAGATATCCGTTTATTTCAGGAGGTATCTTGAGAATAGCACCAAACGATATATGGTTCGCTACGATACAAGCCCAGCGAGATATCTACTTGACGCCTTCGAGGCTGAAGAAGCCCTTCTCGAAATGAAACCAGCACTACAATAACAGCAATTACCCAATATGTTCTTTGAGCTTGACTCGGTTAAGCACGGTGAGATGCGGAAGCTTCTCGCATCGGGCTCTAGCGGGTCCCCTGTGAATATATACGAGAATATATTCCTACCGATACGTCGACATGTTTATTAAAAAAGGTCTGTGAGCTCAGTTTTAATATACGCAGTATATATATTGATGCTAAGCGAGGCATTTCATTAGCTGACGTTTGACATAATAGGTAAGAAGATTCAGCTCTTGAGTTGGCCAACAAGGTACCTAATGCAGCAAGGAGAGCTGAAGTTCGGAGAGTCCCTCGATGCGGTAACTGCAAGCAAGACTCGTTTACAGATCTCACTTCTTGCAGTAAGTTGCCTACGCGAAAATACTCCCCCGGATTCATTAGAAGGGCGCCGAATTTCACGCCGGTATGGCCGTCTATACTCTCCGGATTGGCGCTTCGTGATCAGAAAAGGCACTATAGGTACACCTTAGAGACAGATAGGAGTAGAACAAACTGAAGCGAACCTAAACAAGAGGTTTTTCATCCTACTTCTAGAACAAGGCGGCATCTCCGAGACGGGGTTGGTTATCATTACACATTGTCACGAGTTAGACAGACAGAAAGAGTATATAAAGACCTAGGAAAGACCCCAATCTCAAGATTACCTTTGCCAACAGCCCCCTTCAAAGCAATCTTCTACAGCTTAAACGATTCAAAAGTCGCCAACATGGGTCCAAAATTCCTCTCTCTGCTATTTTTACTTTCAGTATCTGCTGCAAAGGCTATTGGTATGTTGCGGACCTGTTAATCAACCAGTTATACGCTAACTCATAATACTAGATATCGATGTGGACAACTGCTACTGGAGCGGCACAGCCCCTTTCTGCGCAGGTTCATGCGATGCTGGGTATACCGAATGCAGTACGGATGGATGTGGTGATGGGGCTTGCTGTACAACAGGTTACAAGAAGTATTGCTGCCTTGGCAGTACTTGTCCAGACAACACCACTCTAGAAGCTCTAGAAGCTCCAGGAGCTCTCGGGAACGATTCTGAGACGAGCTTAGACGTCTAGGTAGTAAGTACAAACTCAAACTATGGTCCAGAACACATATATGATATACTTACATGCGAAACATATATAGGAGATTCTGAAGACCCTACAGTGGCCTACGATGGTGGTGCATACAGCCGTATCACTACGAGTATAGTTGTTATTATGCTGTTGGACCATCGGATAGGTGGTCATGTGCAGGCGTTTATTGCATCGTCTTTCATTTAACCATGAACCCTCATGTTTCACATCGTACGGACAGGACTACTTTTGCTGCTGGCAAGGCGCGCTGCTCCGGTGTAGCGTAGGAAGTTGAAAACACCTTCTCTTTTCCAGTCACTCGTTAGATAATACGTCATATTCTTAAAAATAAATATCACAGTTGATATCCAAATATCCAAAGGTTCCTGGAAATAGTTAAACCCGCTGATTAACCATGCAGCTGTGAGATGTAATGCGAACTGGCACATCTCGGATACCCGAATACTGTGATTGAAAACTCCAGTAAGTCTTCTCCATTTGCCAAAAACTTCTCTTAAGCCCAATTAGGAATCGCCCGCTGGAGGAGTATGCGGTATCGACAATCAAACGAAATCCTAAGACGAAGTTAGTTAAATAGAAGCTATATTAACCTTAGATAAAACAGTGTAAATATTCCGGCCAATAGTCTTCGGACTACAAAAGAGCATTGCCCGTCGAGATGGTGCACGGCCATTTCATCCTGGTGTATGTTGAGTCTCAGCAGCTCATTGGGCCCTCAGCTAAAACTCTGGAACTTTCCTAGGTAGGTAGTCATTTCGAGTTCAGACCTGGGCGATAGTCAAGAGATGAGCAATTATCTTCTACGCAAGATAGCTCGCAACTAATGACCTTCCCGGCTAGCACCGTGCCTAGGGGTTGCGCGGGCATCGCACAAGCTAATCTCGAGATGCGGATTGCCGTAGCGAAGTTGATTCGTATTTGATTTTGGCAGTGTAAAACTCCGAAGACCGAATTAGTTCTGTGGGAATGTATACCTAATGTTGTGGAAGAGGGCCCCTCTCAATTTCCAACTCCGCGAGCAGAATGGCCTTGGTCGAGTAAAAGAGTAACGCGTGGAGTCTTCCTTTCCGGACCACCTAATGATAGTGAGTGACCTATGCTTCGTGAGAATGCAAGTAAAACACATCGAACTGTAAATTTCAAGGGTATTATTCAGGTCGCTGCCTAGTTAGAAATCTACAGTCATTTCGAAGAATTCCTCCTGCGTCGTCTTAGATATACCCTTTACCAGTTGATTCGATTATCGGATAGATTTCGTAAGCTCCGTTCCTTCATTTCGACTCCTCTATTTGCTTCGCTTGTAGATTTTCCGTAAGAACTCTTCGAAGACACCCTTCTTCAATCCTTCACTCTCGTCCAAATGAGAGATCAACCGTTTAATCTCGCCGACGGTCTTCTCCTCGTAGTCCTCGTACAGTTTATCGAGCTTCATTTCGTTGTAGAGCTTCTTGATCTCGGCCTCGTGGGCCTTGTCCTTCCTGCCGTAGTGTTCCTCGAGCGTCTTACGCTGCTCAGGAGTAGCTAACTTTAGGGCTTGGTTGACGAGCCAAGAGCATTTGTTATCCTGGATATCGGTTCCGATCTTGCCGATGTGCTCCGGAAGACCGAAGTTGTCCAGGTAGTCATCTTGGATCTGGAAGTACTCGCCCATGGGAATGAGGATGTTACGAGCTTGCTCCAAGTTCTTAGGGGTCGCGATGTTGAGCATGTGCAGCGCCAGAGCAACGGGAAGGTAGAAGCTGTAATACGCTGTCTTGTGGATGACGATAAAGGTATACTTCTCTAAGCTGAAGTTGTCGAGGTTCACAACATCCTCCGGAGCTGTGAGAAGATCGCAGAGCTGGCCGAGCTCGGTTTGCAGTGCTACTTCGTGAAATAGCTCCACCATGTCGATGTAAGAGGGGTGAGTCTTGAAGTGCTTCTTGAGTAAGGTGTAGATGGCAGACTCGAGTATGAAAGAATCGTTGATAGCAACCATACCGACACCTTCCTGGCGATACCAGCATGGCTTCCCACGTCGGGTGATACTACTATCCATGATATCGTCGGCGACGAGGAACATGGCTTGAAGAAACTCAATCAACCAGCCTAGAGTGGCAGCTTGAAAATACTGCTCTTCGGACAGTTCCTTGCCGAGAAGGATAGACACCGAGTCGGGAACTGACATTCCACGGTTGCATTTTCCGCCAACCGCGTTTTCTTGGAGCATCTGCGTATAGAGTTAGTACGGGATGTGGGATGCGGCAAATGAGAAATGAGATTTAACTAGGATCGATGTTCTTAGGAGAGCATAAAGTTGAGTAATAATAGCAATCGAGTCTTACCTTCTTGTACCAATCTTGCTGCTGCTGAGGCAAGTTGTATTGCTTCGCCCAAGCCAGGATATCCTCCTCGAGCTTGGGGAAGACAGACTCGAATTCCTTAAGAGTAGTTCTCTTAGCCATCTTGTCGACGCGGTGTTGAATGTTCAACTAATAAAGTATGTCCCAAGAGATGTCTTAGGATATGTTTCTGGACTTAAGGTACGAAGGGAGGAAATAAGGGAAATAAAGGTCCCCTCTTATAACGGCCCGAGAAGTTGTATAAGAGTTGCCCCACACCGGGTCGATATTTTTGTTGGCGAACCGTAAATTTCCTAACCCAATGTAACTTAGTACACGTAGCTTAAGATGGTCGGGATTGAAAGTTTTGGAGGGTTGATTTAAGTGTTGCTATGTGTCACAAGGAGTTGTTGCACGGTATTACGCAATACGTTATTTAGTATTACAGTCGTTGTCCCGCTGCTATCGTTATAATGTGAAAAATACTGTGCTGGGAATTGAGAATGTGTAAAACTTTTGGCTCGGGTCCTCGTTAAGGTAGGTTAGTAATCTTTGACTACCTAGGTACCTAACCTAAGCCTAGTAGCGCTTAAGCTTAATAGCGAATACCTATGATATACCTAGAAGGTGGTTCTAGCGTTTAGCAACAATGTTGGGATTATCTGCTTTTGGTAACGCAAATCTCCGGAGGTAAATCTTGTGCTCTGCGTCATTTTTCCTACATAGTTACCTAGGTATCTTTAATACTTGAAGCTGATACATAGCGGTGAGGTGCAAGGGTGCAAGGGACCATGCACTATGTATCGGGTCGATCTTGCGGATACTTATCCAAAGATGGTGGGTTGATGGATATCTTATCTTTATTTCTTATCGTTATCTTATCCTAGGTCAATATTGATTTTCGAGGGGCAGTAACAGCTCCTGTTCATCCGACCTGATTCATGATTCATGTGCTAAGAGCTTTATAAAGTTTTGTTGCTGCGAAACAAACCCGACAAGACTATTTCTCTTGAAAATGTAATGTGTTTAGGTTACATCGTCGCTATTACACGGAAACGCATACAATCCAAAGCTCCGAGCACAACTGGACTGCGACGCGGTTTCGTCGTTGTCACGTCCAACTACACCGAGCTACACAACCCGCGACAACTGGCCATAGCGACGACTAGCCATAGGCAACATAACAGCGTTTCTTTAGCCACCTTCACGCATATATAGTGCGTAAATATGTCTCTTAATAGCAAGGAAAAATCACAACTCCGAAGCGCCCTACAAGAAGCAGTTATAAAATGCTCGGAGAGATGTCTTTATCAATCTTCAAAATGGTATTCGTTGACCTCCGTTCCTTGCAATGTTACACATTACGGGTTCTAATCCAGGATATGCTCTAGGGCAGCTGAACTACTTAACGCCATTCCTGAACCCGAGGCGTCGCCTGACGATTCTCAGCTGTCGGATGCATCTAATGGATACGCATCGACAGCATTTGCCCAAAATGGCGACCCAGACGAAGCAATACTCGAAGCTAAAGAGATAAACAAGTACCTGCTAGCCAAGTCCTTCTTCGATTGTCGAGAATACGACCGCTGCGCTGCAGTTTTCCTTCCCGACTCTACCTTGGCTGGCATGGCATCCTCGAAAGAGCCGAATAACACGACGCCCAAAGGAAAGGGGAAAGGCAAAGCCACAGCACCTAGCACTAGGACAAGCAGCGCCGAGATATTGCCACAATTGAGCCAAAAAAGCCTGTTTCTTGCATTATATGCCAAGTTTCTCTCGGGAGAGAAACGTAAAGATGAGGATGCCGAGATAGTAATGGGACCTCAGGACATTGGCACATGCATCAACAAACAGCTATTGACAGTCAGTCGTATTTTAGAAGCATGGTTCGAGCAACGGAAATCAGATGACGGCGAAGAGATAGAAGGTAGCCAAGGGTGGCTTGAATATCTCTACGGTATGATTCTTGCTAAAGAAAAGAACGAAGAGCTGGCCCTATATTGGCTAGTACGCAGCGTACACCTATTTCCTATGAATTGGGGTTGCTGGCTAGAGATGACTGCACTTATCTCACGGGTGGAAGATGTATGTTGCAGTAGAATATCGGTTAGGTTCACGATGGCTAATTTGATACAGTTAAATCGCATAATGCCTCGCTTACCACAAAATATCGTATCCTTTATGTTCCATATACACACCTCGCTCGAGCTTTACCAGCACGATCCAAATCTCGCAAATTCCCTCGACCAACTACTCAATATATTCCCGACGTCGTCTTTCCTGCTCACATGCGATGCGTTGCTATCTTACCACGCAAAGGATCTCGTTGCAGCAGAACAACACTTCAGCAACATTTTATCGCTACACCCTCATCGACTCGACTCGCTTGACCATTATTCTAACATACTCTACGTCATGAACTCACGACCAAAGCTCGCATTCTTAGCGCATCTATGTAGTAGCGTTGATAAATTTCGTCCAGAATCTTGCGTGGTAATTGGTAATTACTACTCATTATTATCCTTGCACGAGAAAGCTGTGCAATATTTCCGACGAGCGTTGATGCTGGATCGCTCATGCCTATCCGCTTGGACACTCATGGGACATGAGTACGTCGAACTTAAAAACACGCATGCGGCCATTGAATCATATCGCCGAGCTGTAGACGTGAACCGAAGAGACTACCGTGCATGGTACGGACTGGGGCAGACGTATGAGATTTTAGAGATGCACGCATACGCATTGTGGTACTATAAGAAGGCAGCCGGTCTCAGACCATGGGACGGGAAAATGTGGATGGCCGTTGGCTCGTGCTTACAACGCATGAACCGAAATCAGGACGGAATCAAAGCTCTAAAACGGGCATTACTCGCCGAGAGCTATTATGACACAGGTAGCAGCATCGGCAGCGGTGGGATAGCGGGCAGTCTCCGAGGTGCGCACATGGACCCGGAGATCCTGCTACAAATCGCGAATATGTACGATGGCATAGGCGAGGAAGAAGACGCAAAGGCATACATGGAAATGTGTGTGGCGCAAGAAGATGGCGGGGTAGGCGATAGTCAGGGCGAAGGCATCGCGATCCATAATGATTCGCCGGGAGAGGGCTCGGATGACGACGGCGATCGCGCCGGGCGTGGAGAGGGAGGCACGGGGGTGACAGCCGCCACTAGCAAAGCCCGGATATGGCTTGCGCGCCACGCGATGAGGACGGAGGACTATGTTACAGCGAACCGCTTAGCGAACGAGCTATGCCAAGACGGCGTTGAAGTCGAGGAAGCGAAGGCGCTCATACGAGAGGTTAGGTCCAGGATGGAAGCTAACGGAATGGAATTACCGTCAACGGGATAAGTCCCCTATAGCACGCTACGACACTTACGAATTACGACTGTCTTGATGATACAAGGTAGTTTGGAAGCTTTGGAAGCTTTGGCTTGTGCATCGATTGTGGCTAATGAATTATGATATCTGCATCAATGGAAAATTAGTAAAAGTGAAGTTTTCCCCGTGGATACGACATCAACCTTTGCGGGAGCCTACGTGAGCCCAAGGTATCCCGTTGGAGATGGGTTATGGGATAGTGGTGTCTTGTGGGTAACCGATTGTAGCATCGCGAACAAGAATGCTCTCCGCACACACCGGGCGGTTGCTTGACTCTAACCTCCACATGAACCTCAGCAACGTAACATATACATACCAATATACAAAATTTCCTTCATCAGATGACTAGAGGGGTTGTGGTCTCGTAAGCTTAGGAAGAGTAAGAGTCATTAGCACAAGTGAAGTTCGTATTCCCTTAGATATAGAATAAGAAGTCTTGATAGTATTACGTGTATTAGGTACCTCCTAACAGGCGACCCTCGTTTCCCAATTGTGTACGTATATGTGGCTGTAGAAAGACGACACCAATCTACCAAAGTTCGTTCAACACCGACAGACTCTCACACTAGATAGATACAAGTAGCTACTGAGATCTAGATACCATGCGGGGGGTGTAGTGGTCGGTTGTATGGGCCCTTGCATTCGCCCAGCTCTCTTCAGGTACTAATTACTAAGACCGTTCGATGACGGGCAGGTAAAGTACCTATATAGAGCAGGACAGGGAGGATCTACATAGGCAGCTAATATCTTCGCAACTAATCATAACGTGCCAACGCATGAGACATAGCCTTTTCTCTGTCTTTTTACTCGCTGTTCCGCGTCTTCCTTTATGTGTGGTAGTATACATATTACATATAAGAGACCGGGTCGGAGTTAAAGATATTCCTCATATCGAAGACGTTACTGTAACTGATCGGGACGGATATCTACTGCTACCTCATATTATGTAGGTTATATATATATACATAGGTAGGTACCTACCACCTATGTATGGGGTTACATCGAGCTCACCTCGGTCCGGTTCTTCCTTTTGCGCCGCAAGTGAGGTCGAGTCCTAGTTACCGAGGCCAGAGGTACGGCGCCAGGATGGTTGCATTGTGTCTTAGTTGACGCCTATAAAAAGATACGAATTCTCACGTGTGGAAGCTAGGGTAACTAGAGGATGTGTGAATTTGTATTAGTAGGGTTATGGAGGTATAGTAAGAGAGGTAAGTAAGTAATCCAGCTCAGCTCTCGTAACAAGTAGCAAGGATCAGTGTGACCGGCTTGTTACTGGACTTGTCTTCCTCGGTAGACGACTTATACATATAGCTATGGAGTTAATATTGACTGTTTGTGTTGCCACAATCGCATATCCACACCTTAGATGTGTACCTCAAAACGTATAAGATGGGCAGGTTTGGTAGGCATGTAAGCGCCGTAAAAGTATTAACTGGCGAGGCAGAGTGGCGTTCTGCCTACAGCAGAGACATGTCTCTTCCTTCGTACGAACCAATTGTCAATCCATAATTATTATAGATCCCCATCCCCATCCCCATGCTATAATATACATATAGCCTCTCCAATAAACTCTTAATCACGTCAATTATATATCGCACGACCCCAGCAAGCGAGTGAATGACAGCCCGCCGTGAACTCCTCCCTGCTTGCTTGCCCGCTTGCCCCGCGCCAGCTCGCGGACTAGCTGCATGGCGGCAGAGGAAATACGAGCTCCATGACATCTTGGCGGCGCAGACAGACCACCTGTGCGGAGCGCAATCACATGCATATCGTTGCATTTCTTAGATAACCTACATACATAATATAATATACCTTCTCAGCACTCCCTTACTACTATATACACGCGTACCTAATGTAGGGGCGGGAGAGGAGCTAAGTGGCGGCCTGTCCCAACTGGGAGACGAAAGAAGAGGAACTCTCGGAGGATAGTGCTGGATAGGTAGCCGCCTTCAAAATGGGGCGTTGTACAAAGTTGTTTGCTGGTAAGCTGTCAGACTTATAGTAGATACCTACCGTAAGTTAGCTAAGTAGGCTCTAGTTGCTCGTATACCATATCCCTATCATGAACGGTTCGTGAAATTCTGCGTCGAAAAAAAAAAAAAAAAAAACAGCCTGTCAGCGCCGAATTCACGCTGCAGGGGTATCGAATGCGAGAGTGTTAGTCGTACAAGAGCCCGAGCGAAGAAGCGGGATGTCGATATCACTCTATAGGGTTAGGAGGTATGTAGGTAGGGTAGGTAAGGGACGTCATACCAAGCCTCTCAACAAAAGTGCCTGAGCCTCGAAGAACCCTTTTTCTTTTCTTTTTCCTCTTTCGACCTAACTAACACATATATAGGCTAGCAGGTTAGTTAGGTAGTTAGGTAGGTATGTAGGTAGGTACGCACACATACACTATATTGAAAAGAAAAGAAGAAAAAACTTGGAAATCCGTTCATCTCTACATAGAACATGCATGCATACAGACACCTATCTAGACCCCTACCTCATGTGGAGCTAAGCCGACAAACGCAGCAATAAGCAGACAAGCTATTCGCCACTGTACGCTGCTCGCTGCAGCTGTGCCGTGAGCGACCATGTAGATTGGTGCTGTCAGCATTAGGGCCATACATGCATGATAAGAAAGAAAGAAAAAAAGACGGATGTAGAAATGCTCTGCGTAGTGGGTTAGCTCGCGGCGGCCAGTTGTCCGAACTGAGAAGAAGAGGAGGAGGAGGAGGGTGGAGGAGGGTGGAGGAGGGTTAGGTTAGGTTGGGAATGCCGGGTATGTGAGGACGTGCTTTGGTGCGTGCGTGAGGCTACCGGTTCACTAAGGTGATGTAATTCAGAGCGCAGTAGTGCTACGGGCTAAGAAGATGGCGCTCAGCTCAAGCTGAGATACGTCAATCAACGACGACCAGACTAAAGATGTACAGTTTTCACAGTAAGAGTCACAATTGAATACAAGGTACAGCTTTGGTGATTATTATGGTATTTTCTATATACGTTATTATTGCACCACCCAGAATACCGGGTTAGCTTCAGGGAGTGTAGTTTCGAAGCTTGTTGGCATCGAATTAGCCAATATGCGTGCATACACGCAGATTAATATACTAGATATAAACCTCCCCGTGTGTGAGCCTCAACATAACTCCGCCTTCCTTTATGCTAGCCCACATCATCTCGTCAAAGTCATCCATCGTAAATAGCATGCCAAGCTCCCAGGGGTATCGCTTGGTTTAATGAGGGTATAGAACGAGGCCGCTAACCACTTCCGCTTCCAGATGCCAACCATATCAAATCATAGCTTCATCCAAAAGGTGAGGGGAATCATTCGCCGCCTAGGTATTATAAAAAAAAAACAAAAAATGGGTATCTGCAAAACGCAATAGTACGAGGTCTCGTATTACTTAGTCTACAGAGCGAGTGCAGCGAGGCCAGCAGCAAGAAGAGCACCGACGGGTCCAACCTTACCGGCAGCCGCAGTGGGGATCACCACCGGGCCGGAGGATGTGGGCGGGATGGGGAGGTTAGTCGGGACTGTCGGGACTGAAGGGGTGGTGATGGGGACGGTTCCAGAGATGTAAGTTGACGGCGTCGGGGTGTAAGTGATGACCGTAGAGCTCACGTTGGAATAAGGGTAAGAGGAGAAAGGGGCAGTCCCCGTAGGAACAAGAGTTGGCGTAGGGTACGAAGTTATGGTGACTGGAGGAGGTTGAGAGTAAGTAACGGTGCAAGGGCAGTCTTTTAGAATGTTAGTTTCCGTAACCTTTATTATAATAAACTGATATAGACATACTGGTGATAGTAAGAGTGGTCTCTGTAGTAGCAGTATATGTCACATTATGCCAGGCGAAAGTAGTAGGGGACTAGTCGAAGCGTCAGTTAGATGATAAGTGTTCAAGAAGCGGTAGTTATGATGTGTTATGATATTATACATACCGGGCAGTAAGTAGTGTAGTCAGTTTCCACGACTGTTGTCCAAACTGCGGTCTCACCCCAAGCATTCGCAACAGCAAACAACCCAACGACGGGCGCGAGGATCTGAGTTAGCTTCATTTTGATCGGTATATTGACTGCGACGGTAAAGCGAAAGAACTGGTGTTATTATTATTATTATTTGACTTGAATCACTAAGCGATTGAGTTTTGCAAAACGACTGTGATGTCCGTTGAGATTCGACGAGTAGCGATTGAGAGATCCCGAGCGATATAAGATGTTGAAGAGATATGTTGGAAGTGTATGCAGGACAGCCACCTATTTATTTTTCTCTCGGACCTGGGAGGGTTGAGTCCTCATTGCAACCTTATGGTGGGCAATGGCAAGCAGCCCGATCCGGCCGGTCCAGCCCGTAATCGCAGGCTTACAAGCTCAAGGGCTGGGAGCCCTTTGAGTGATGCTATGCATATCAATGGCGGGCAGTTACCATATCGACCAACGCTTGTCCGGGATTAACAAGCCACAAAGGCAGCCAACGATACGACCAATACATCTCTACACTCGTAGCCGTCGTACGGTTAGATGTGTGATACGGCCATCTCATCGTCTTGATAAAAGAGGCTGCCATTCCGGTTACGACTCATCCTAAACTGCCCTGTCTATCTCGTAATGACTCGGCGTGAAGCCATGAGAAGATCTATTGATACTTAGCTCTAAGGCTAGGTTATCTAGATGCCCAGCCTAACCTTTACGGAGCGGCGGTAAGATACGTTGCATCCAATTTAGGTCCCATCTAGCGATACTAGGCCAGAGTAGGAGCTGTACTATAGAACGGCCACATTCTCTAGTGTGATACGAGGTAACAGTCTCAGTAAACGATTGTTACTCGTGAGATGTACGGACATGTCAGCATATCTCTTCAACAAATAGCTCTTTTAGATCGTGCGATAGATAAGGTAACAAGATAATCAGGCGGGGTTGGTGATGCCGAGCTGAGAACATGATAGGCGTTCGAAGAGCCTCCCCTGCCATTCTGGTCAATCAACAGAGGCTGACCTGAGCTGATTGGGCACGTCATATATTTGGACTTTCGACTTTCGCTTTCTGGTAAGTGGGCTGGCAGGGCTGGTGTAGACTGGTGCAGAGACACGGTGGCTGTTAGGAGTCTATACCTCTTGCGGCCTTATCGATGTAACGATTGTATTGTACCGAAAGGATCGAGCAAAACCTCGTGTTGCTGAGCTACCAGTCACTGGTCACCGGTCACCAGTCTAAACGGAGTGCCAAGCCCTCTAGAATATCAACATTTTTTTCTCTTCTCTCCCGCTAAGATGAGATCAGATTTGCGAACCTGAGGCGTGGATATCTTCAACTTTGGTGATTAGCTAATGATTTTTATATGATATTTTATAATGGAGGAGAGTGGGTGTGTGATCAGGTAGGTAAATAAATAAAATCTGAAAGTTATGTTGTGTTGTTGGAGGAAGGATTGTATTAAATTGTGGGTTGGTTGAGATTTCATAGGTTGAATTGGATATGATAAAGATATGCGAATATGTACCTAGGTACCTAAGGTTAGGTACTCAAATATGGGTATGCATCACTGCATGATAAGAAAGAGCGATACCGTGGTTCAGATCGTAGACGGAGATTCCAGTCCGGTCAAAGCTTCCAAAAAGGTTAGAATAATTCAACGCGATAACCGTGACTTCTGTACATAAATATAGAAATTATGATAGGCAAGTACATTCGACGAGCATTAAAAACATTTGGAGAATGTAAAATGGAATTTCTCCAAGTATTTCTCTTCATCAGAAACTTTAACCGCAAGCAAACCCAAAGTCGTCATCTGAAATATCTCGACAACGGACCTTATGCTTCTTCGGTTGAAGCGACATGCTTGGCTCAATGTCCTAACGACGAAATATTGAAATACAGACACAGATATATGGTAGCGCGACAAATATCTGTAAATGCTGCGCGCGGATTGCCTTTGCATCGGCGAGAAAAAGCTAGCGAGCACTGATTGTCCAGGCTGCGGAAAGAAATTTATTAGGTCTGACGTTCTTTCGTCATCAACTGCCTAGGTTAGGTCGTCTTTCCAGCAATCCAGGATATGGATAGAGGAACTCCCAGCGATCTCGGTTAGCTTATCTCACCGCGGCTTCTTATGAGAATCAGTCGGCCATATTCGGAGGACCGGCGACAAAAGTATGAGCTTTTCAGACTTCTGTTCAGGCCACCAATACCACCAATACAGCAACTGCAAGAACAACAGTAAGAGAAGGCCTTCCCCGTTGAGCCAATGATGAGAGAGGTATTTTGTTCTCTCCCGAATGGACCACAACTCATCCAAAAACGCCAATAGCACGTCATCACCGACATTTCCGTTACATCGCGGTTCCTGAAAATTCTGATGGGCTCGGCTTCGACTTGCAGTTCTCCGTCGATGCCTATTGGATGTCTAGCAAGCGAACATGCCAAGCAACGGGACGGAAAATTTTCACCTCCTCGCTTTCTTCTGATAGGTCTTCCGTACCTATCTTGCTGACTGTTAGGTCAACCCTCACCGGCTTCGAATAGTACACTCAACACCTCGGTGTCTCTCTAAGAGGTGTACCTGCAGGCTGGCTTTGCTCCAATGAACTGGCTGGCATTATGTGATTCGGCTGCAGGAGGAGGCCAGACTCAGCGTCGAGGCTTGGTTCAAAGTTGTAATTCAGTGCATCTTTCTTCATCCTCCCAAGAAAACTTGTTTTACTTATGGCTAAAATTCACTCACGAGTATCTTGATGAATCATCATACCCAAGCCATATAGTCAGTCGTTAGCTGAAGCAGTATACGACTTCAGGGTTACTTGGAACTTGCACACCCCATTCATGCTAGGTGGAATATGCCGCCTCTCCTCCCAAGAATCGAATTTAGTCAAGGATTTGATACTGATGCATTAGTTCATAGTTCACAGCAACAGGCAACCGGGATGCCGTGGATAGACTTGAAAGGCCGCGTTTTGGCCGATGAATTAGTGGTTGATACTTACACTAACGTAAAGGAAGAGTGAAGAGATTTAAGCTTCGACCAAAATTCTCCAGTATATGAATGACTAAGGACTATCCCGATTGTCTTGATTATGGTTGGTTGTTGAGTTATAGCTACCTCGGCCACCATACAAACATGTCGTCCGCCACGGTTTAGCAATATACCCGCAAGTCTACGTGGATCGCGATGCATGCGTGGCAAAAGCAAATCAGGATGCTATCCTGTCTCTTGAGTTCCCCCCTACCCCGGTCCCGTGGTTGATGGTGTGAAGACGCGGCCCCTAGCGCTCGACGGTCCGGAGTTGCGTGTATGTATCCAACTCGGTGACTAAATCTCTAGGCGTTGGTATCGGTCTATTCCGGCTTAACACCCGGGTGCCTTAGTGGCTACTACACAGCTAGGTCAATATGGATCAAAGTTTTTATTTTATTTTACTGATCCACTCGCCCGTGAATAGGGCGAGGCCGACGATTTCGACAGTTGAGCCTTATTACTCATAGTTATTGGGACTGCACTCTAGCGACGCCAATGGCCATGCCAAATTCCTCCAAGGTTCCCACAAGTTTATATCACCATGTCTAGTCGGCGAAAGACTAGAACATCTACCTTGTCTCCCTCGCGAGATCTAGTCTTCTTGGTAGAGAAATTTGCTCGGGCACCAGTGCCACAGTGCCTTATTGAGCTCATGCAACTGCAGCATGTTCAATAATTCATCACATGTGTCACTACGTTGCGTTGGCTACGGAATAGCAAATGAAGAAAAATTTGCAAGCTGTGGTCATAAGTCAGCCTAGTTCGAGAAGCCCTAATTACTAGTCTGTTTACCCCATCGCGCTCACTCAGTTGGAACCATATTCCCGTATGAAGTTCCATCTCGGGCGTAAGGGATGTGCTTATTCCATCCCAATATCACCACCTTCGCGATGTTCTACAAGGTTGTTGTCATGTCAGCAGCGTATTAGCAATGTGAACAAAATATCTAAATGGTACCACGTATGGATTACTCTCGGCAGAGCGACTGGGCAAAGAACTTCATCTGAGGTGCAAAGCCCAAAGGCGGCGACGGTCCATTAGGCTACTACATCATCGCAGACCTAGATGCGGTGATAGAATATGCCTCCTCACATTTGTCGGGCGAGACTGTACCCTTTCATGGCCTGCCACATCAGTGCCAATGCCACATGGAATATGTCAGGTACCAGGAACAAGATCTTAAAGCCGACCAATCGGGTTTTAGAACCAGATCAAATCCAGCAGTTGCTAATGCAGGGTAAAAAAATCCTTTACTTGTTTTCTTTGTGTGCCACCCCCTTCTAGTCCCCCTTCTAGTCCTTTGTAAATTTTCATCTTATCCTGGTAGACAGCCCACCCGAGTCTCTTGGATTGGTGGAAGCACGGGTTTTTGCTTGTGAAGCCTAGGTGACCGTCCTTGCAGAATTCATAAGCTCACACCCCATCGTTATACATTGTATGTATGTCAGCCCTAAAATAATATCGCCAAGATTCTATCAGATGCTATCCGCCAGGCTCCGCGACTTTCGAGATGCGCATTCTAATGGGGGTACCGCTGACCACTAATGTCTTCTAGAACAGCTCGGAGTGACATAATCCAAGTTAAAGAGTTGATGCAATCACTTTAGCATCCCATATTCCACCGCCGCTAGACTCATGCTAGGCTCAAATATCTGGGTTTAGCAAAGTTTGTCCCGACTAGAAGGAACCATTAGTGCGAGGTCCTCCATCTAAGTTGATGGGCTGATTGCACTTAGGATGCAACCCTGATTCAGGAACAGGCAGACAGGTCATCCTTTCGGCCTCCACACTCGGGCTGCTGTGGCTGCTCTGATACATTCACGGCACCAGGGGGATTGGATGGATCCTGGATCGTGGAATTCGTCCAGGGCCCCCCGCTGCATACTAACGCAGCACTCGTTCTAGACGTGCTTGACGTTTCTTGTACATGGGATACATTGGATACATTGGACTCCTCAATGATTGGTTGAGCTAAACAATGATGGTAGAGCCACGAGCCGACCTCTTGTGGTCTTTGTTCCTCGGGATTTTATATAAGACTTTGTGTCATCCCGCATCCTAAGTTTGTCTATCACTTCTATACCGCCATCAAACCTTCTGATTCTATACATTCTCTTTCAGCTCTTGGTAGCCAAAATTCCTTCCTTTCAAAGCTTATTCGTGATACATTCATTTAACACGAAGCTATATACCCTTAGCTACAACACACACTCTCTATCAACCGAATACAGAAACCACACGGCAACGAGCCATCAGATATAGATACTTTGACTATCACTCCTATCAATAAACAACAAACAAAATGGGCCTATTCGCTAAAATCGCCGCCTTTGCTGCTGCTTCGGCTACTCTGGTTAGCGCCAACTCGTTCACATTCATCAACCAGGACGGCGCCACCCGCCACATCACCTTTACCCCGTCTGCAGGACAAGCACCTATCGCTCCCATCACGATTGGAGGAAACAGCCAGACCAGAGTGGACTTCCCCCAGGGATGGATCGGCAATGCTTACTCTTTCAACGAGGGTGCCCCTGACGTCCCGGGCATGCTCGCCGAGGTTGCTTTCAACGGCTGGAACGGCTTGACATACTTTGATGTCTCGGCCATCGTGAACCCTAACGACGTTAACGGTGTCAAGGAAATGTACCCGGCCAGTCAAATGCAAGCCGCGTCCAAGGTTGCTGTATCCGGATGTCAAGTGTTCCCTTGCGGTAGCGCTTACTACCACCCTGACGACATCCAGACCGTCACTACCCCGGAGGCGGACCTTATTGTCACCCTCGGCGGTGGTGCCCCTGCCCGCCGTGACGTTGAGGCCATGGTGGTCCCGCGTAACTACGTTCTCGGCAAGCTCTCTGCGTAAGAGGAGTCTTATCCTGCCTTGAAAGCGTTGTGCGCCGAGCGCTCGGAAATGATTAAACGACTTTATTTCTACTGGCATTACCCATCCTTTACAACCGCCAGCCCGCCGCGAGCCTAGGTGCTTTGCGCAACATTCACGACCTCGAAGGATCGTGCTGGTAAAAAAGAATATTACTTCCCCGGCGGAGTAGAAGATGGCATGCTGGTCAGGTTCCCTTCCTGGAAACAAAAATAAACAAACAAATAAACAAACCCGATACTTATCGCCCTTCTCCACATTCGTTGTCTTATATCTTGCAATTTTCCATTTACATGTATATACTTGAGGGTCGCACTTCTTGGTTTGCTTTGGAAGGGATAATTATACCCCCTTAGTTGTGCTATAGCGAGATACCAGATAGATGGAACGAATAGACGAGCTCACGGTTGATTTCAAACAAACGAAATTGTTCATTGTCCACGTGAAATCATTGCTTTGTTATGTCTATTGTCTTTTGGTAAGGTCTAGACTCGAGACCCTTTTACGTAGAGTCAAGGCCGCAGGTCCACATGGTTCCAATTCACTGTTTCTAATTATCTCTTTGTTTCTTACTTTCCCCTTTTCCGAAATCATTTCCGGTAACTAATGTTAGATGAAGCAGACCTACATACATAACTCATTAAGATAACTAGAGAGATATTGGAAGTAAAAGGCTATCAACCCTGGCCGTGGAAATGATTGACCCCGCAGGATTGCGTGGCGCCTCGTCGATAGAATTACGCGGCACAGCATCAAAATGCACCCCAATCTCGACCCTAGGCCAAGCCACGAAACACCAAATAGAAACAGAAACAAATCGAACATGAACGCCAAGCCCAATATAACTTAGGTACATGTAGTTATTAGAAAATTAAAATAACTACTTATTTACTCAACTACCTAAGGTACTTGATGTATTATATCATGGGAATTCAAAAGTGCTGTAATTGCTTAATTCGGCCCATGTCGTTAATTTCTCGAGGAGGTTATATTTAACTCGTACATAGTCCTAGTCGACGAACAGGGCAGGGTGTGGGCTATTTATGTAACCTAGTGTATTGATATACTACTTACCGCCTTGGGAACCTTCACCCACCCAACGCCAAAGTTCGGGTCGATCCCCCGGACCTTAATTTAGCTTATCAACTTCCCGATGGCGTCCCGCCTAGAACGATCGAAGGGGCCTCGGCGAGGTTTCGTAATAGAGTGTCTGATAGGTATCGTTTGAACGCCGAAAGATGCATTGCGGTTTAGTTTATTTTGTTTCGTTTCTTGCGCCGCGATATTGCCTTTTGCTATGAGTAGTACCTGAGATAGCCATGTATTACCTAGGTAGGTTACTACTCTCCGGTTTGAGGATCGGCCCCGGGGTCACTGGCCTGCGCCACGATGCAACTGGCGGAATTACTACAGGTGCGGTGCGGCCGCACTGGAAATAACCTGGAACTGGCCTTCCTCAAGCCACGGGGTAGGGTAGAGCGCATGCTATTGCTATATCGGTGACGAGACGAGTAGGCTTTTGGGTAGCGTTGCGTTACGGGAGCACTTACACTTATACTTACACTTGCACTTGCACTTACATAGACCCTAACACTAACACCAACACCAACACCAACACTACCTTGCCTTCTTCTCTAGGTATTTATGTTGTATAAAGTAGGAATAGGTTGTGTATATTTAGATGGAAACAGGAATACTTCGCCAAGACCTGTCGCGGTTTAAATAAAGACAACCAACAAAAAACGTGCCAAAGCCGCAACCGCCAAGCTTTTCTGATATCCCGGTTCGATGCCACAATGCGAGGGTGATCTTTCTTATCTGTTGTAACCGCACACCCCCCCTCCCCCTCCCCCAAAGAGGTGTCTTAATTGGTGTACGTGTGTACTAATGTGCTTATTGGAGATCTTGTTATGCTTGGCATGCGAGACATCGAGAATTGTGAAGAGTTGACTTATACTATGTATGTAGTTGTGAAGAGCACTAATTATATGATTAATACATAGATAGACAGCGCTCTGCTGATCGCTGCAAGTATGTCATCTAGTGACAGCGGCTCTCAGCATCTTATTTCCTCTTACCTTACCTTACCTTGCCTTGCCTTGCCTCAACAGCCCGCAGGTAAGACGGGCGGGTAGAGCCTATTCGTCCTCCATAAGCAACTATCCTATCTTGAAGCATAATAATCCCGTTTATTCAGGGCCTTATCTTCCTTGTATAAGTGCCGAGCGGTTAGCAACGTGAACACGCTCCGGGACGAAACGAACAAAGCCTGCACTCCACGTCTTCCCGCTGCTAAGCAGTTTCCTACGGTTGCTCAGACGTACTACATAGCTAGGAACCTTCAATACCAATATCACACGTAGGTACGTCCTCGAGGCTAACATCCGGTTCCTGAAAATGATCTGCGTACCCTACCCATGCACCTGTTCCAAGATTTCCCTCGCATGTCCCCGAAGCCGGCGGCGCTCTCTGCTCAATACATACATGCATGCATGCATGCATACCGATATCGACTTGGCCCTTCTCGGGATCCAGCATCTGTCTACCGGTAGTAATTGCTGTCGCAAGCCGAGCGGCCGCGGGTCTTTGCCCGTCTGGGCAAAGCAGCGAGCAGGCCATTAGCGCGGCCGACTCACCGTACAACCTGCTGATGGCCGAATGGGGCGGGCTCCAGGTCAGCCGCCGTGTTACCGTCCGGACGTCGTATCTTTATGACCTGTCATTTTTGAATATTTATTGGCGTTTACATACCCCTGAACAGGCTGTATATATATATACATGTAAACGAAAAGAAAAAGTCTTATATCGCGATCTGTTAACGCCGTGCCACGTAATAGGGCTTGGTTGCTTCTCCATCTATCTATCTATCTATCTATCTACTCTGAGTCATTATAGGGGACACGAAAACGATGTTTACAGCGTAGACTTCTGTGCGAGTACGTGTGCCTAGCGCGGCACGAACACAGACATACGTTGGATACATACCCTACCTATGTAGACACAGATACAAGTGCGTGTGGAGAAGGCGGGAAAGTGAGACACTGTCTTGCGGGAGAAACACGTGGGCTAGGAACAAGACGGCTCACTTAGATAGCAGCATGTAAAGCGAGCGGTCTGCGTTGGACGGGTGAGGTGGCTATAAGATATGCACATTGAACTTAATATGTAGGTACCTATAATGCATATACTCCTAGGCTGCAGCACATTTCGTGATATGGATAGTTTGACCACCTATAGAATAACAACAATAAATACGCGTAAGTATATTGTGTACCTAAAATTGGTTATCGAGATAGATAAAGTTGTAAAGTAGAACGTATAAACAATATATCACTTACATACCCCTTACTGAAAGGCTTGCCATCAGATAAATTACCTACTATGGCTGGCATATAACAGCATACTCCTACATGGCAAGCTAGACTTAATATAGAAGGATATGTAGCAATTAAAACGATATAGGTAGCACCCTAAACTTCACATTCGAGCGAGGCATCACCCTATAACTACCTACATTAGGTACACATCTGTCGTAGCGGCGGGATACAACATTCGTACCATAACAACTAAAGTTTGCACATCTTCATCTTAGTCTTCGTCTTCGTCTTCCAGTCAAGAAAAGAAAAAGCCAAAACCACTTCGCCACAATACTATAACGTAGTAACCTAGTCCTTTCTTCACTACAAAAAATAAAACGCCTGCCTTCATGCCAAGAACGAGCCAATGTACAAGCAAAAACACGGCATATAAAAAACAAGTCCAAAACCCGCTAATTACTCTCCGTGGTCTTTTCCGTAGCTTCACCTGCATTATCTCCGTTACTACTGTTTTCTTCTGATTTGCTGTTATCTGGTTGGGGCGATTCAGGCTTATCATCTGATGCGGGAGGCTCCGGCTCTGGTTGTTTCTCTGGCTTCTTCGTTTTGATGATGGCGAGTAGACTATCCCCTGTGTCTCTAAAGCCGTCTATCTTGCTTAGTCGGCTGGTGAGGTATTCAATATCGGATTCCATCCTATGATCCCCTTAGTTAGTTGATTGAGTAGATAATGAGGAATGTTAATATCATTGCTTACCGTTTGATACCTATCTCGGTCTTAGGTTCCAATCCCTGCAGCGCTTTGCCCACCTGGCTCTTGTAACTGTCAAAGACGGGCGTCATGATCAATCTTACAGTGCCTTCTGGCAAATGTTTTGTGAGAACTCTATGAAGCGTGACCGTTTCCTTGACTAGCGTTTCCATGTATAGATTCACTGTTGATTCGGTGTTCTGGTCCCAGTCGAGCGCCCTCATGCTCTTTGCATGCGCCGAGGCGCGGCCGCTCATGATTTCGACTAGTTTGTCGTATATGCTATTCTGGTGTTCCTGGAAAAGGCGCTTAACCTTGTCGAACTCACCCATGAGGTTAGCAACGTTGCCATGGTTGACGTTGGGGCCCGAACCCGCGTGCCGGCGGACGAATTCGCGGACGTGGGGAATGAGCGTAGAGATAAATGCTAGAGCTTGCGAGGCGAGGGCTAGATGCCTCGTCGTGATGTTTTTCAGACCTGCTGAACGAGTGGCACCCGCGCCGAGGATAAGTTGTGTGCATCGAGAATTAAAAAGTTGTAAATACCCGATTAGAGAGCTGGATACGTCAGACGCCATAGACGGAATTCCAGATATGAGATGTAAGAAGTGAGACATTCCTTCTAGGCATAGTATTGCTGAATTGGGTAGTATAAACGTCTCGCCGTCTATTATGGCACTCCTTGTCCTCTCCTTCGTTGCGCCATTAGACTCAGCCCTTGGCCGCCCGTTGGAACTCTGCTTGCTATCCGCTTCGGAGAATGGTATCCAGATCTTGCTTCCTTCTAACCAGGCATCACTATCCTTCGTACTACTGTCTAATATGCGTTTGAGTAAGATGGTATTTTCTTCGGTGAAGTCTTTGGCGCTCCACTGATCAGATTCCATGCCTTGGGCCAGTTTTTGCTTCTCCGCATCGCCATGTGACTGGATGAAATCTTTAATTTGGGAGTTAACAATGTTTTTCAGCGAGGTTCCGCTTCGACCAGAAATTGCTTCACACTCGTTTGCAAAGTAAAGGTTAAGCGTAAAGTACCGCAAGAACCATATCAAGGGGAGATGTGAACTTTGTTCAGATCGGACGCGAAGCACCTTTACAATCTTTTCCTGGGAGACATCAACTGCCTGTCCGTA